CCATGCCATCTCGCACAAGACCCGTCTCTCTCCGTCGCTCGTCTGACTGCTCGGTGCAAGTCCTCCCCGCTTGCCGACCTGGGCCGCTGGTCGCCTTGCGCTGCCGCTGCCTCAGACCTGTCCCTTGGCGCAGGGGGGGGCTCCCCATGGAGAGCGGCGCCTGACGTCGACTTGGGGCGCTCCAGAGGTCGCACGGAACGAGGACGAGGATCAATCCGCTCCAGAACGCTCTCAGAGCGTTCCCGAACGCTCGGAGAGGGCCGCAGATCGCGCGAAGCATCCTCCAGAGCCGCCGGATCTCAGAGGTTCCCGATGTATCCTCCACCGATCTTGTCCTCGTCCTGGCTTCGTCTGGGGAGGGGGCGTCGCCCTCGAGAGGTCGAAGGAGCTGTCCGCCACAAAGCTATACGCACGGACATGCTCCACTGGATTGTCCCTGGGCTTCAGGGGAGGGTGGCGATGTATAAATCACCACTGGGAGCCAGCGACTTTCTACACCGCCACCCTTCCTGAACGTAGATGCCAGTATATGGTAATTATCGGCGTATCTGTTTCGAAGAAAAAACACGTAAACATAAACTTTTGGCGCTCCGCGCGGATTTCTTGGATCCGCGCCCGGGCCCCCTGGCGCGCTTTTCGCGCCATGGAGGGGGGTCCAGCACGAACCCAAGAGGTCAGCACGGAGCGCCAAAAGTTCACGTCTACGCCGTTTCTTCTTCTTATTTTTCTTCTTTTTCTTCTTCTTCTAACTTCTTCGTGGCGCAAACTAGCACGTATTCTTCTTCACTCGAATCATTATTATGTATGTTTCTGTTTTCTTCTTCTTCTTATTATTATTATTATTCTAACTTCTTCTTCTTATTCTTCTTCTTATTAGTATCATTATTATTATTTATTCTCATTCTTCTAACCTTTTCGTGGTGCAAAGCTGGCACGCCTCCTCCCCGAGCCTCGGCGGAGGGCCGGCGGGCGGCTCGGCGGCAGCGGAGGGGCCGGGGGCTGCTGCGCCGGCGGAGGCTCGGCCGAGGCCCTGGCGGGGGAAGCCGGGGCCCTGCGGCTGACCGGGTCCCCTTGCCTGGGGGTCCTGGCTAGACATCAGAGCCCCGAATCATCAGGGGTAACTCGGGTCAGGGCTAACTCGGGTTCGCTTTTCGGGAATCCGAACCCGAGTTATCCCGGACCCGAGTTACCCCGGATAATTCGGGCGTCCAGAGCCCCGAATCATCAGGGGTAACTCGGGTCAGGGCTAGCTCGGGTTCCTTTTTCGGGAATCCAAACCCGAGTTACCCCGGACCCGAGTTACCCCGGATAACTCGGGCGCCCAAAGACCGTCGGGGCCCTGAAGAAGGAACCCTTTCCGTTGGGGAGGGGCTCCGCGTTCCTGAAGGGTTTCACAGCTTGCCTCGGGTTGTCCTCATGTTTTCGATCGGAAATCAAGTTTAACATATGGAAAAAAAGGGGCCTCGTTCCTTATTTAGGGTTCCTTAGGTCAACGCCCCGACTGCACCCGACCTAAAAACAGGACGACGAGCGAGACAACAGCAGAAGCAGGTCGGCGGGCGGACCCTCACGTGTGGGTCGGGCGGGGGAAGCCGGGGCCCTACGACTAGCCGGGTCCCCTTGCCTGGGGTCCTGGCTATAGCCGACCTAAAACAGGACGACGAGCGAGACTTCCCAGCCTGGAACATATCCCTATCCCTATGCTGGGCACCTCCTCATCACGATGCCAATCTTAGGGATTTCCTTGTTTTTTTGAGGGCGAATCCCTAAGATTGTCATCGCCCTTTGGCGTGTCAATCTTAGGGATAGGGATACGTTCGAGGCTGGTAAGAGACAACAGCAAAAGCACGCCTGGTGGGGGAAGCCGGGGCCCTGCGGCTGACCGGGCCCCCTTGCCTGGGGGTCCTGGCTAGACAGTCGGGGCCCTGAAGAAGGAACCCTTTCCGTTGGGGAGGGGCTCCGCGTTCCTGAAGGGTTTCACAGCTTGCCTCGGGTTGTCCTCATGTTTTCGATCGGAAATCAAGTTTAACATATGGAGAAAAGGGGCCTCGTTCCTTATTTAGGGTTCCTTAGGTCAACGCCCCGACTGCACCCGACCTAAAAACAGGACGACGAGCGAGACAACAGCAGAAGCAGGTCGGCGGGCGGACCCTCACGTGTGGGTCGGGCGGGGGAAGCCGGGGCCCTACGACTAACCGGGTCCCCTTGCCTGGGGTTCTGGCTATGCCCGACCTACAACAGGACGACGTGCGAGACTTCCCAGCCTGGAACATGTCCCTATCCCTATGCTGGGCACCTCCTCATCACGATGCCAATCTTAGGGATTTCCTTGTTTTTTGAGGGCGAATCCCTAAGATTGTCATCGCCCTTTGGCGTGTCAATCTTAGGGATAGGGATACGTTCGAGGCTGGTAAGAGACAACATCAAAAGCAGGCCTGGTGGGGGAAGCCGGGGCCCTGCGACTGACCGGGCCCCCTTGCCTGGGGGTCCTGGCTAGACAGTCGGGGCCCTGAAGAAGGAACCCTTTTCGTTGGGGAGGGGCTCCGCGTTCCTGAAGGGTTTCACAGCTTGCCTCGGGTTGTCCTCATGTTTTCGATCGGACATCAAGTTTAACATATGGAGAAAGGGGGCCTCGTTTCTTATTTAGGGTTCCTTAGGTCAACGCCCCGACTGCACCCGACCTAAAAACAGGACGACGAGCGAGACAACAGCAGAAGCAGGTCGGCGGGCGGACCCTCGCGTGTGGGTCGGGCGGGCGGGCCCAGACGGCCGGGTCGAGCGAGCGGGCTGCCGAAGCGCCAGTCCTGCAGGAAAGCACGGGGGAAGGCCGTAGCGATAGCGGGGCGCCAGGAGCAGAACGACCACCTCTCAAGCAGTGGCGAAGCGTCCTGGCGTGCGTAGAGGCCTGCCAAACAGCGTGCTAACGGCGGAGGCTCGGCCGAGGCTCTGGCGGGGAAGCAGGGCGGGCCCCCTGCACCAGGAGCAGAACGACCACCTCTCAAGCTGTGGCGAAGCGTCCTGGCGTGCCGATAGGCCTGCCAAGCAGTGTTCTAAGAGCCCTTCTGTGGTTCCCCCAGGAGATGTTCTCAGAGCATTTCTGGCTGGGGGAGTCTCTTGTTTCATCGCATCGGGTTCTAAGAACATCCCTTTTGTTCTTAGAGCATACTTGGGTTCAAAGAACATTTCTTGGTAGGACTATAGGAATGCCGGGACGGTCGGTCCCTGCTCAAACCTTCGCCATGGTCGGAGGCCCAGAGGTTGACACCAACACCAGTATCGGTGTTGTGCCTCCGCCGAGGGAAGAGTATCCCAATCTCGGCGATGGTGGTGACATTCTGGCTTCCTAGGCGGCCGAAAGATTACGCCACCAACACCGAAATCTAGGATCGTCGCCCCCTTGTGGAGGCAACGCCCCCTGGTGGAGGCAACGCCCTGTGTTGGCGTTGGTGTCAATTTCCAGGCCTCCAGCATGGGGGAAGCGGGTCCCAAGGGAAGCGGGTCCAGAGGTCTTTCGCCGTCTTCGGTCCCTCGGGGCCCCTCCACGGGCCCCGGGGCTGGAAGGAAAGGACCCGGGAGGAAGATCTCGTTTTGGGGGGGAGGCCCCAGGACTCCAGGATGCGTTTCCCTCGGGACCCGTTTCCCCCTATGCTGGTCCCCCGCATCGGAAACAGTTGTTTGATCTGCGGGGCGAGAGCGACCTCTTCCGCGAAAAGCTAGGCGGGCTATGCACAGCTTTAATTCGGGAGACAGGGCACAGGAAGGCGGGGCCTCAGGCGGCCGGAGCGGGCGGGGCCCGGGGTGCAGGCGGTGCCGAAGTGGACGTGCAGGAAGAGGTACGCCGCGGACAAGGACTGCATCGGAAGCAGGATGGCCACATCTAAGCAGAGGTGCGATCTGTGTCGTCGCGCCGTGTGCTCCGACGCGCGGCCTCGCGTCTTGGGCCTCGGGGAGGGTGCCGCGGTCACCAGGAAAAACACGCCACCTCGGCAGCGGGGGGTTTGTCGTGAGGTTTGCCGTGGTGCCTGCCTCCTTTGTTGGGGCGCGGGGCGCAGGGCTTGCCGTGTGTTTGCCGTGGTGTTGGCGTCGTCCACTTGGGCGCGTTCAGAACAAACGGCGCGGCGACACTTAAACATAAGTGCGGCATGTGTTCTGCATGTTTCTGCGACAAATGGCAGGCTGTGATCTACAGCGCGTGAATCACGCTGCCGTTGGCCCCCTTGGCGGAGTTACCCCGTCCGTGCGTGTGTTTGAGCAGCATGATGCATCGTCTGCGCGTCGCCGCGCGCGCCATTGTCGCCCTGCGCAGTTGTATTCGAGCTCCGGTTTGCGGCGCTGGTTTTCGGTGCAGCACAAGAGATTACATTTTTCTGGGGGTCAGGGCTTCCGGGGCCAGCCATATGCCACATCTATCATGTGCGCGGGCGGGAGGGGCGGCGGTTACCAGCGCCTGCCGCCACGGGGCTGGCTTGGCGCGCGGCTTCAGATGCTCTGCCTTTCTGCTGCCTCCTCCTCCTCCTCCTCCTCCTCCTGGGATGCGTTCGCTCCTCCTCCTCCTCCGCCGCGCGAGCGGTCGGAGGACGCCGCGGAGACGGGGGGGGTGGAGGGGAGAGAGGCGACGGGGGAGGGGCAAGTGGGCTGAGCTCCCGCCGCATCCCCCACGCGGACGGGGTGTTGTCAGAGGTGGCCCTCTGGCCCAGGGCCCAGGGTGGCCCCAGCTTTCCCACGGAGGCCCAGGAGGCCTGCGCGGCACAGTTCCGGACGATCGGAGTGGTTTCGTGCAAAACCGCTCGTGTGCTGGAGGCGCAGATCAGAAGCCGAACTTGACCGGAGAAGAGGAGAGCAGAATCCACGCTGATTGAGCCCGCCGCGCTTCTCGTCAGAATCCGCATCCGCCTATCCCTTGAGATGCTCGTCCTCCCTCGCCGCCAGCGTCATCGCCTTGCCTCCAGTCTGGCCTGGGCCAACCTCACCTCTGGTTCTCCCCTCCCCGGCCTACCTGTGCTCACAGGGGCGCGAGCGTATGCTTTCGCGTGCGCGAGGATGCAGAGCCCGGGGGCGGGGGCATGGCTGTCCGTCACTGGTGGCAGGGGCCGCTTGGGAGTGGTCCGCACGCGGCGACAAGGCAGCGGCGCCACGGCGCATCAGGGCAACCTCCTCCTCCTCCACCTCCTCGTTGAGATTCCGCACACATGATAGCTGTACGGTTTTGCACTGACGAGGGCGTTGCCAGCGCGGCGATTGATATGCCAAGTGTCTTCATCGTTGCCGGGCGGTCCATCGCCAAACTGCGTTCCATTTCAGAAACAAAGTCGGCCGATTATCTCGTGATCCTTATGCCGCCCCTCCGTGGCGATTTTGGCTCTAACTTTGTCGGCGTGTGTCTATCGAGTGTTCTGAATCGTTGCTCAATCGACATCGTCTGACGCCGCAGAAGCGAGCAGCGCCTTCGCCGCGATCGATCACATTGACAGCGGTAAGAGACAAATCCGGGATCGAAACGCAATGCGCAGCTGGTGTTTGAGTAGATAGTGAGTCCTCAGAGAAGCCATGGGTGCACTGCGGACACGGCTTGACGGCAATCTGCACCCCACTAGAATCGGAGCGCGCATTCTCTTCCGGATTGGATGAGTTCGCGTGCGTTTGCAGACAGAATTCTGGTGCACTGCAAAGCAACTCATGATCGAACCGATCGTATGTGCCAGACAATACAGAATTTCTGTACGCCTGCGAACATTAAGGCCGAGCCGTACAGGGCCCTCAACGAGACGCACTTGAACGCATCTCCAAGTCATATATTGACGAATGGCCAGGTGTGTCAACGATGCTCCTGTATGCGAGGGGCAGGCGTTACTGTCGTGACCATTGCCTTGCTGAAGCGGCATCACGGATTGTACCCGTTTGGCAGGTGCAAGCTTGGCTAGGGCTATTATGCCAAAACGCGTTGTTTCGTGGAAGCATGTACGCATGCCACGCGCCCAGCACGCACCTCAGCGTACTACGCAATTGCTGGCCATGCCAGGCGTTGGCAGCAATGCGTTGGACCATTTGGAGCCAGAAGCGTCGGATGCGTCGCCGTCCAGGTGCCAATGAAGCTACGTGCGCGGGTATCGCCCCGAGCTTTCCTGGTGTTACTTCTCAGGGGTTCCGTGTGGTTGTTCTGCCCGTGGGTCCGGAGGATCGCACCGCACGACTTGGTGCGGAACGCCCTCGTGGCCTCTGCAGCTGTTTGGGCACGCAGGAGGCGCCTGCTTCGACTTTGGTCCCCAACTACCCACCAAGCCACCCCAACCCAACCCGAAGGCCCCGATTTGCCCTCTGTTTCCAAGGGGGGGGGGGGTCGGGGAACACTGAGCAGACACATGGAATCCGCCCCAACCCCGAAATTCGGGCCAAATTCAGGTCTTCGGGTTGGGTCGGGGGTGGTCTGGTGGGCAGTCAGTCCTTGCCGTGGTCGTGGACCTTGCGCTGCGCGGGCCTGTCCGAACCCTGGGAGTCACGGCGCCGTCGCCCGTGCCCAGGCGCGGAGGCCGGGAGGAGCTGCTGGCATGCGGGGCACTGCCCGAGACGTTGGCTGCCCGCGCGCCTCGCCCTCGCACGCCGCTTCTGCGGCGTGCCCGCGGGCAAGTTGCTCGCACGCGCTTGGACTAAGTCGGCCTGTCCCTCTACAGGAGGAATAGTCAAAGGTAGTAGGAAAATAGTCTGGGGACGTTTTTTGGACTAGTTTCGACCTTTCTGGAGTTTTTGTTGGGGGTATGGATGATTTGTCGTCCAAAATCCGTAGGGGAAGATGCCCGACTCAACGCTTGGACGGTCCGCAGTGTGGCATGGCTCGGGGGTCGGGTCATTTGGCTTGCCGCCCTTCTCCTCCCTCCTCCAAGGCCGTCCGCCTCTTCCTCCCACCCGCTCGCAGGCAAGTCGCCCCGCGGCGCCCCCGCTGAGGCTAACTACGCACGCGGTGCGCGTGCGCTACCATTGTGACTGAGAAGTGTTAGGTCTCCCTCCCTCCCTCCCTCCCTCCTCCTCCTCCTCCTCCTCCTCCTCCTCCTCCTCCTCGTTCTCCTCCTCCTCCTCCTCCTCCTCCTCCATCTCCTCCTCCTCCTCCTCCTCCTCCTCCTCCACTTCTCTCGTCACGGAAGTGAGCTGGCTACGGTCGGGAACGCGGCACAGCGTTTCGCGCTGCCGGTTCTGGCCCACCACGCTTCGGCGCGGCACGTTGGCCACGTCCCGGTCTGCGAGAGTTGACGTCCCGGGCCCCTCCTGGCCTCCTGCCTCGCGGAATGGAGCGACACCTTGTCAGCTCTGCAGGGCATTGCGTGTCGCTGAGGCTGCCGCTGCGACACGCTGAGCACAATTTCCCGACCGTGTGCTTGGTAGTTCGGTGTTTCCAAGTTGTGACGTCTGAGCGCGGATCATACCCCTTGCGATGGCGACGGTCATCTCAGGGACGCTGGATCCAGGCATGACAGTTCTGCCTGCGGGGACCCGTTCCAGATGGAATGAAGGTCGGAGTGTATTCAAGCCGTACCTTTAGTTGTCGGGATGTGTTACTCTGAAGCGACGCGTGGAGTTGCCAGGCCTGCTGTAGTCATTTGGTTTCTACCTCTTCCCTCTCCCCTCCCTGGCCCGCATGGGCCTGGACCTGGCCCGCATGGGCGCCACCACTTGACCTTAGTTATCCTCCTCGAGGGGGTGGGCGGTGATCCTGGCTAACAGGTGCTCCCTCACGGTCACGGCTGGTCCCGCCCCTTCCCCCCCAAGTTGGGGCAGGGTGACACACATCACAGAAAACGTGGCTGTGGATCCGCGGCGCAGTCTCCACTGTCCGAGGCGAGGATCTCTCCCTAGCCACCGCCTGGGGGATCGATCCTCGGGGACCTCGGCCAGCGGTGGACACGGATCTGTTCGGGCCCCCGTGGGGCCGAGCACGCCTGCACATCCGCCGCCCGCGGGTGTCCCGGGACCCCACCGTGCGGGCGCTGGCGGGAGGGCGCCCCCGCGCCGCGGCGCACGAGGAGGCGTGCCGGGGGGCCCACAAGAATGGCGTGGCTCCTACAGGCCTCACGGCGAGCCGCGCCGGGGGGAACGGCGCTCTCAGGAGCGCTCTCCTCCTCCTCCTTCTCCTCCTCCTCCTTCTCCTCCTCCTCCTCCTCCTCCTCCTCCTTCTCCCTCTCCTTCTCCTCCTCCTCCTCCCCCTCCTCCTCCTCCTCCTCCTCCTCCTCCGCCTCCTCCTCCTCCAGAAACGCCAGCGAATCGAAGGTCCGCGGCTTCGAGGGGTTCTGATCTGCCGGCTGCGCCCTGGCTGGCACGGGCGAGGCGGACGTCCTGGCAGGAGGGGGCCCGGAGCCACGCGGGCCTCCCGCCAGGACCAGTCTTGTGTGTTGGAGCGGCTTCGGACTCCTGGGCAGGAAGGATCGCCCGGAGGAGGCGACTGACCTGTCGGAGCTCCGCCCCTCGGACGGGGCTACCAGGAGGATACCCATCGGTCGTCGAAAGTAGGTATTTTTGGATTCCCAGATTCCATTCTACTTTGAGCGCCTTCCTACTTCAAGAGTCGAGTGGCTTCACCTCTTCCGTCGTCTCTAGGGGGCGAGCGGACACCCAATCTACTTTCAACGCCTTCCTACTTCATGTTTCTACCTACTTCTTCCGACCGATGGGCAAATCTGCTCCAGGGCGTTCCGGAACGCTCTCGGAGCGTTCCGGAAAAAGCTCTGAGAGGGCCGCGGCGCCCGAGGCATTTTCCAGAGCCGCCAGATCTCAGAAATTCTAGACGCTTCGCGCAACCCCACCAGCCCATGCAGAGACGATGCCCCGAGGATTTGCCTCGATCCGGGAAGTGGGCAGCACGCAGATGAAGGGTCTCTCTTGGAGCGCTCTCGGGACACTCTGGGGCGCTCTTGGGGCCGTCTTGGGGCTCTCTCGGGCCTCTCTTGCGTCTTGGGAGCCTTTTGGCGGTCCCGGGGGCCTCTTGGAGCGTCTCGGGGAGCCTCTTGTGGGCCTCTTGGGGGTCTCTTGGGAGACTCTTGGAGGCCTCTTGGGTGCCTCTTGGGGCCTCCTGGGTGCCTCTTGGGGCCGTCTTGAGGCGCTCTTGGGAGCGCTCTTGGGGCCATCTTGGAGGACATCGATCAAACAAGAGGGGAGCATTAATTAGCGTTGCTCCTCGGGAGCCCCAAAAGTCGCATCTTGGGGCGCTCTTGGAGCGCTCTTGGGCGCTCCTCGGGCCGTCTTGGGGCTCTCTTGAGCCTCTTTTGGGCCCTCTTGGCCCATCTTGGAGCCATCTTGAGGCCTAGGATGGCCATCAGAAGCGAAACGGCGAGAAAGCAAAACACATTGATGTTCCCAAGGTTTGGGAAGGATGTTGTCATCTTCGGGGCCTCCTGGGGGAGCTCTTTGGCCACTTGGAGCCGTCTTGGAGCGGTCTTGGGGCCTCTTGGATCATCTTGGGAACCATCTTGAGGCATCTTGGGATATCTTGAGCCATCTTGGAGGTCATCTTGGGATCTCCCAGGCGCTCTTGGAGCCATCTTAATCAGTGGCCCCTCCCAGAGGCTAAAATGTAGCCAAAACCGTAGTACAATTAATGACTTTGGCATTCTGGCCGAAGCCTCTTGGGGCGTCTTGGGTGCCTCTGGGGGGCCTCTTGGAGACTCTTGGGGGTCTCGTTGGACCCTCTTAGGGGGCATCCTGGGGGCCTCTTGGGGGGCTCTTGGGGGCCTGCTGGGCGCCTCGTGGGGCTTCTTTGGGACATCTTTGGGCCGTCTTGGAGGACATCGATCCAAACAAGAGGGGAGCGTTAATTTGTGGTGCCCCCCCGGGGGGCGAAAATGGGCCAGCACTTTCTGGTAAAACCAATAATTTTGGCTTCTTCGCGAGGCCGCTTTGGACGCTCTGCCACCTCGCGACCGGCCCCGTCGAGGTCCAGGGGAGGGGGTGGGGGGACGGGTAAGCCCTTTTCCAACAGGGGAAGAGGGGCAGATGGAAGACAAAACACCCTGGACCACCTACGCCCTACAGTCGGCCCAGATTAGTAGGTCGACCCTGCCACATCAAGGGTACCCTTGTGTCCTGTGTCTCGCGACCCGTACTTCCTACCTTCCTGTGGCAATGTGGCCCTCGGAGGGGCTCGTGTCCTCTCGCGTGTCCTGTCCAATCGATTCCGACTGTAAAGGGGCTGGTGGGATTTCCGGCTTACCCCCACCCGATGCTTATCCTCGTCCTGGCTTCGTCGTAGCTTTAAGTCGGGCCTGTCCCCCTACAGCAGGATTTTCGACGAAAAATGCAACATCCTCCAAAAATGCACCAAAAAGGCAAAACAACATTTAAAGAATAGTCCGCAGACTATTTTTGGATTATCGTTTGATTATTTTTTGGGTATTTGGTATTTTTCGTCGGAAATCCCTCTTTAGGGGGACAGGCCCGACTTAATCGTAGCTCCGCGGCTGCGCCCCCGGGCTCCGGGGCAGACGGGCTCGATGTCCTGCTCGTGGCAGGGCGGTGCTCCTATCGCCGGGGGGGGGGGGCCTCGCCTCGAGGCCCTCGCGTGCGCCCCTCGGGCAGCGGGGTGCGGGCGCCACGTGGGGCGTGCACTTGGCCACGTGGGGCCGCCTCGTTGTTGTCCAGAGGCTGTCGAGGCAGCACTTCCTCGAGAGCGAAAGATCGGGGGCGGCAAAGAGGGGGGTGATGACTAGGGGGGGTGGATATCATGGCGGGGGCCACGATATTTCCCAGATTTCGTGGCGCCTCTTCTTATCCCATTACGTCCCTGGCCCGCCGCTGGGCCGCGCACATGCCGCCGGTCATGATTTGCACCCCCCCCCCCTCTTGGCCGCTCCCGAAAAGAGACCCCCTGACCCAGACGCGGCCTCGCTTGGGTCCCCGTCTGCTCACAGAGGGGCAATACATCCAGGCGGCGTGGTCTGATACATCTGCAGATAAGGTCCCCATGATCCCCCCTCCTATCTGAGGTCCCCCCCAAGGGATTACCCTGGGTGTCTTAGTAAGCGTGGGGGGTACCCCCTCGACGGGGGTCAACCTCGCCTCGCCGTCGTGCCGCGACGGGGGTCGGAGCGCCTTCGGCGCGCGGTGGCTGCCCGCAACGGGGGTCGGTGTGGGGCTGTCGGCGGGGGTGGGACGCTTATTGAGAAACTCGGAGCTGGGGCACTCTTATTGCTCATCAGCGTTGGCGCTGGCACAGGGCAAGCCCTGAGCAGGTGTAGGGTGAAACTTGCTCATCATGGGGCCGAGCTCTTTGGCAGCGACTGTTTCGAAGGGCCTGTCGAAAGATGCGCCTCCTGCTGCCGGTGCCACCGCCCGCGCTGCTGGATCTGCTGCGTCCCCGCCCCCCCTGCCACGGCGAGCCTGGGCAGCACCACACGAGGCGTTCCAGGAGAGGCCTGAACCATCGAGGCACCCAGGGAGTTGACATCTCTTCCTTGGCAGAGGGCGGCAGAGGCCGACGGCATCAAAACGAGGCCGCCGCCGCTGGCGGAAGGCCGGCGGACACGAAATCCCCACCCCAAAGAGGAGGTCACAACATTGCTCTGGAGGAAAAGAAACGCACAGACACTGTTTGCGTCGGCGGCCAGGCAGGGGACGTCTGCGCTGGCGATGGGATGCCTAAACGGGGCTGCCATGAGAGCGAATTGCGCCACCATGCAAGAGGAGGAGCGGTGGGAGGGCGCGGCCGAAAGAGGGGCGGAAGTGGCGTGCGGCTCAGGGGAAACGGGTCGCTCCCCGAGCGAGCGGCGCGGCCAGCCCCGCCGGCGGGGCCCAGAGCGGGGATGCAAGTCCTGGGTAGGAGGGTGCGTGACGAACAGTGCAAGCACACAGACACAAAGAATAGTCGACTCCCAGGAAGATGGGACAATCTGGGAAGTGTGGGGGGAAGGCAGGCGAACACCCAGAGCATATGGAAACATCTGGGGGATCCTGGGATTTGTGTCTATTTATTTGTGTGTCCCTGGGCCCCTTCAATTCTTTGACCCAGAGTTTCCAGGGCTAGCCATAGGGTGCCCCGCCAGCCATCTGGTGGACGAGGGACGACGGCCGTCACGATGGCAACGGTGACGGCGGCTTCGCCCGGCTTTCAGGAGCAACTTTAGGGGGAGGTGCGCCGACACGCCCAGGGGGATGCGTCGACCCCCTGTCGCCGGTTCGTCGCCGATGGGGGCCCGGTGGCCCACCCCACGGCTCGAACTAGACGGTGTTATGGCAACTTCATCGGCCGTTTTCGTTCTGACGTCGTGCTGCAGCCAAGGGAGGGTGGGACGGAGACAAAGCGAGGGACAGCGAGCACGAGACGCAGGCGGAAAGCATTGCCGAGCTCGAGCCCTGGCCCACCCCGCCCAGGAACGTGCGGACTCGCCATCGCGGGCGAGCTGCGCATCCAACCCGTCGGTGCATCGCCGATGCCCTGTCGAGGCTCCCATCCCAGGAGGGGAGAAGCACACAGACAAAATTAATCGTCGACTTCCAAGAAAATACAGGAACATATGGGAAGTGGGGGGGGAAGACACACACCCAGAAACACGGGGAAATATGGGGAATCCTGTTATTTTTGTTTGTGTGTGTGTGTGTGTGTGTGTGTCCCAGGGCCCCTTCACCATCCCCCGGAGCCAGTGCCCCCCGCACGTTCTCCCCTCCGGCTGCGGCTCTTGAGCAGGCCCCCATGCGCGGAGTGGACGGCAGTGGAGGTCCGCAGCCGCGGGGCGTGCGGCACCCTCCGCAGCGCGCGGCAGGGAGGAGGAGGAGGAGGAAGGAGGAGGAGGAGGAAAGAGGAGGAAGGAGGAGGAAGGAGGAGGAGGGAGGAGGAAGGAGGAGGGAGGAGGAGGAGCAGGAGGAGGAGGAAGGAGAAGGAGGAGGAGCAGGAGCAGGAGGAGCAGGAGGAGGAGGAAGGAGGAGGAGGAGGAGGAGGAGGGAGGAGGAGGAAGGAGGAGGGAGGAGGAGGAGGAGCAGGAGGAGGAGGAAGGAGGAGGAGCAGGAGGAGGAGGAGGAGGAGGAGCAGGAGGGAGGAGGAGGGAGGAGGAAGGAGGAGGAGGAGGAGGGGGAGGGAGAAGGAGGAGGAGGGAGGCTGAGGAGTAGCACGAGCGTGCAGCACGCCGCCCTGTGGTTCTGGCACCCGCTGGGCCGTGCGGCCCCTCCTCCCCCGCCCCAGCGCCGAGGCCGGCACCCCTGCCGCGGCGGCCGGGGAGGCCCTGCGGGCGTGGGCGCAGGGAGAAGGCCCGCGGCTCGGGGCGCAGGGGGAGGGCGCGGCAGCGAGGCGCCGGCCGACCGCGGAGAGCCTTCTGCTCAGAGAAGGACCCTTCCCTCGTCATCAGGCAGTGGCAAAGCGTCCCGGCGTGCCTATAGCCCCACCAAACAATGCTCTAAGAACCTTTTGTGGTTTCCACGAAATGTTCTTCTTAGAACATTTCTGGTTGAGATTGTCTTGTTTTAACACGTCGGGTTTATGTTCTAAGAAAACTGTTTTTGTTCTTAGAACATTTGGGGGTTCGAAGAACATTTCGTGGTAGGACTATAGGAATGCCGGGACGGTCGGTTCCTGCTCAATCGTTTTCCCCCTGTTTGGGCCTCCTAGGAGGCCCTCGCCGCCACCGCTGGATTCGCCTCGAAATTCTGGTCAGAACGCACCCCGGCAGAGGTCCGGGGAGAAGCGGTACCGGTGTTTTTTTCCCTCCAATTGTTGGATGGCTCTCTCAAGCTCCCCGCCGCAACAAGCAGTGTGCGTTCAGAGCAGAAGCGTAGCAGAGCCACAGGAAACCGTGGCATTGATAGGGTGGGTCGGACGGAGAAGCGATCCGGGCTTCGGGATCTCTTGTGGCACGACGGTGGGGAGGGGGCCACATTTTCCTCCCCGACGCGCAGCTTTGGGCCTCCCGCAGACCAGCCATGAGGGCGCAGTCTTCTGCCCATACCCCCCTCCCCCTCCCCCCCAAATTCGTGCCGAAGGAAAGTGGAGGAGGAGGAGGAGGAGGAGGAGGAGGAGGAGGAGGACGAGGAGGAGGAGGAGGAGGGGGAGGAGGAGGAGGAGGAGGAGGAGGAGGAGGAGGTGGAGGAGGAGGAGGAGGAGGAGGAGGAGGAGGAGAAGGAGGAGGGGGGTAGGGAAAGGGGAGTTTAACTACAAAATCTGCTGTGCGCAGCTGGCTTCGCCCCGGCGCCCTGCCCATCCCTCGATGCACGGGCGCCTCCCGTCGCCAGAGGCGCCAGGAGCACCAGCTATAGGTGAGCCGAGTCTCTACCCTGCTGCCCTTTGATGTCCTACCCTTTTGTCCCCCCCCGATCCCCCCAACTCAGCTCCAATCGGCGGATCGGTGGGGGATGGCATGTGGCTCGACGCACTGCAGATGCTGTCCCACCAGGCAGGAGGGGAGGGGGGGCCGCCCTGGAACTGCCCTTGAGCAGGAGTCGCAGCCTGTTGCCATGTTGTTCGTTTCCCTCTCTCTTCCTCTCTCTCTCTCTTTCTCCCTCTCTCTCTCTCTCTCCCTCTCCCTACCTGTCTCTCTCTCTCTCTGCCCCTCTCAGTCTCGGCTCGAGAGTGCCCAGCACTCAGACCGCAGCCGCGACGCGAAGCGCCCCGCCTCGGAGTCAGTCTCCCAGGCCTCGCGAGACCGGAGGGGTCCCCCCAGGACCCTACTGATTCGCGTCACCTCTCCTCAGTGCGACCGCCGCCATGGCCCCCCTGTCTGCGCCAGGCAGCCACCGCACCTTCACGTCTCACCATGCTGTACTACCTGAGCTACCTGGCCATGTTACTGTACACAGGCACCAGGACCTTGTCTTCCGCGTGCCCGTCCTGCACGGGCGCGACCTCCCAGTACCACCTGGACACGCCCCACACGTGCCGCGTGCGGATCTTCACGAAGATCTACGTATACTTGGGCATGACGTGTTTCACCTGCGCGCCGAGCTGCGCGCCTACCGCGCCGACCTCCGCGCTCACTTACCAGGCACCGACGCCAACACAGACGACTCCGTCCAGCACCTGCACACCTCGGTACGGCCAGGTATCCAGGGGGGGGTCGGGCTCCCGACTGCTGAGGGTGACGGTGCTGAGTGCGGTCGGGCTGTTCCCACGCCTGCCGTCGTCGCGCCGTGCGTGACAAGCAGTCGGCCCCCAACCTCCCCCCGAGAGCGCTCCCGCGGCAACGTAGGCACCGCTCTCATCTTCATCGGCATTATCTTGCTGATCTTCGGGTACGGCCTTGGCTCCACCTTCGGCATCGTCCTCGGCACCGTCGGTCCGCAGACAGCATCGACGCCAGCTCTGACGACGGCACTGCAGTCAGCATCGACGCCAGCGAGTGGTACGGATTCGGCACCACCCTCGCCTCCTCCCTCACCCCGCCCCGCAGGAGGAGGAGGAGACGATGACGACCACGACGACCTTGACGACTCATTACCGGCGCCGGCGCCGAGGTCAGCACCGACGCTCCTACCGAAGGCAGTCGCCGATCTATCGATGATGCATGCATATACGACCACAGTCTCGCTGACCCCGACGGCAGCATTAACGGCGGCGAGGACGGCTCCGACGGCAGCACCGCTAGCATCACAGACTCCGACGGACGTCAGTACCACAATCAGCCACTCCTGCGCTACCTGTATTGCCACTCGCTCGGCGGCGCCTTCAGGCCCGCCGAAGTCTGGTGACCTACAGACCTCTCCTCGGCATCATCGTCTCTCAGAGTTGCAGCCAGCTTCGACGCCAGCTCCGACGTCCGTATCGAGGCCAGCACCGACGCCAGCCCCTACGACAACACCGCCAGCGTCAACACCCATGCCTGCGCCTACGCCGTTACCTACGCCAGAGTTGCAGGCCGCATCGACGCCAGCTCCGGCGTCTCCAGCGAAACCAGCACCGATGACAGCTCCTATGCCAGCACCGCCAGCGGCACCAACCACTATTATTTATCCCACCCCGCCGACGACCCTGGGTGTCCCTAGGCTAGCACCGCCGACCACCGCATCCATTGAGGCGCCCACGTCCACATCAACGACAGCACCGACGGCAGCATCGAGGCCAGCCTCGATGAGTCTTCAGCCAGTCACTGCTCTGACGCCTCGTCCATGGCCGCGGGCGGGAGTGCAGCCTTCAGGCGCACTCTCCGCTAGCGGGGCCGCCATGTCATGTCATGCCACGTCCGCCTCGTCGCCCGTATCGTCTGTGTCACTATCTGCGCCGACGACCACATCGACGCCACCACGGACGGCAGCTGGGACGTCCGCATCGGCAGCGACAGTTTTCGGGCGACCGCCTTCGACGTCAGCAGTGGCAGACTCGCCGGCGGCGGCACCAACGTTGCCACCCACGGTGGCACCTACGGCAGTCCCCCAAACGGCCTTCACAGCGGTATCCACGATAGCACTCATGACTACATCCACGGTGGCATACACGGCCATGGCTCCCGTGCCCACGTCCGCACCGACGCCAGCATTGACGACAGGATCGGCCTCAGTATCGTCGGCACCGACAGCGGCATTGACGACGAGATCGACACCATCAGGCACACCCACGGCTATTGGGGCCGCCGTACCACGCCGTATCATGCCCGCCACGCTGTCACCTACGGCCCCACCGACCCAAACAGCGACGTCAGACCGACGACCGCATCGACGCCAGCCTCGGCGAGCCCTCAACCATTCACTGTCCTGACGCCTCGCTTAGGGCCGCTGGCGCGGGTGCCGTCTTCAGGCGCACCCTACGCTAGTGGGACCGCCATGTCATGTCAGGACACGCCTGCCTCGTCGATTTTTTCGTCTGCGGCACTGTCTGCATCGACGACAACATCGACGACTACGCCGGTACCCACGCCAGTGTTGCAGCCAGCATCTACGCCAACTCCGCCGTCTGCATCGGCGCTCGCATCCATGGCAGCATCGCCCATAGCTTTGACACCAGCACTGCCAGCGGCAGCTCCCACGCCCACGCCTACGCGGGCACCAACGTTGACACCAGCACCAACACCGGCACCGAGCGCAGCCGAGACGTCATCGCCGACGATTACTCTCATGCCAACCCTGCCAGACTCAGCACGCCCTGAGTCGTCCGCGGCGGCGCCAAAGGTGGCACCCACGTCGGCCTACACGGCAGCGTTCGTGGAGCGTGTGTGGTTGGAGGTCATCGAGTGGTACAACGTGGTGTCATTGTCCACGTGGGCCACCTTGTGCGCCACGTACGGCATGTACTACTTCTCCATCGGCATCCGCGACGAGTGGCGGCGACGGAGCGCAGCTACAGCGCGGCGCCGACGCCGACAGTGCGGCGGCGACGTCGACCGCAGACGCCCTCTAGGCCACCAGACGGCCGCCCAGGGCCGCCCTGGCATCAGCCCCTACACTGCCTCGAGCCTCGAGCCGACCTCCCTACCAAAACCTGGGAGCACGCCAGCGGGGGCGGCTTCAGCCCCCCCGCATGGCACCACGCCTGCCATTCCTGTCATCGGCCCCCACATGGCCTCAAGCCTCGAGTCGACCCCCCCGCCAAAACCTGGTAGCACGCCAGCGGGGGCGGCTTCAGCCCCCCCGCATGGCACTACGCCTGCCATTTCTGTCATCGGTCCCCACGCTGCCTCGAGCCCAGGGGTGACCTCCCCGCCACAACCTGGTAGCATGGCAGCGGGGCCAGCCTCGGCCGTCTCACATGCTCACACGCCTGCCCTGGATCCTGGCTCCCTCGCAATCCCGCGTGTTAGCACCAACACTCCCACCACTAGCACTGCGACTGTACGGGAGCACCTCGAGCGCTACCTCGGACCACAACCAGCCACCATCGGTTACCTCCGAGCAGTCAACCGCCGCTTGGCAGCTCGGATTCCACCGCGGCTCCACGCCGGCACCGAGGTTGTCGTCAAAGGCCAGGTCCACAACCCCATCAACGGCCTCCGAGGCATCGTACGAGGGCCGTCCAGGGAATACCCAGGCCTCTGGACCGTCACGCTGCCTACTGGTGACACTGCCCACCTCCGCGGTTCCAACTTGACCGTCCCAGCACCTCCGCTGCGCGCCGAGGTGCCGCCCACCAGTACAGGCATACTCACGAGGGCGCCAATTCAGGACCCCCAGCCGGCCCCCGCAGCGTACACAAGTTGCATCAGTCTGGCGGCACGGCGGCCTGTCGACTCAGCGGCGGCACCCTGCAAGTCGGCCTCGCTGCCTGCCGCCAGCAGCCGCGATCAGACGGACAACACGGCTGGCCACGACGAAGGCCTCGGTGGCTCACGCGATGACGGTGACGACGACGGCCTCTTCCTCGGGGTACAGGTCGAGATCACCGCACCGACCAGCCCTCTGCGTGGATACATCGGCACAACCATCGACTTGTCTGGCGACCGCGTCGTGGTCCAGTTCACCGGCGGTCTCACCGTCGGTTGGAGCCGCTCCGATGTGACTCGCGTTCGAAAAGACCCAGGGCTTCGGCTGTCAGGCAGCACGCAGAAACTGATGCGGCGCCTCGACCAGTCGCCGCGCCCCTTCCCCGGGACTGCCCTGGAGCCCCTCCATGACATCCCGGAGGAGCCTGTCCCTTCTGACCTCCCGCCTGCCCCCTGGACGGCAACATCGGTGGAAAAGACAAGTGTCTGTTGTTCACACCTGCTACACATGCGTACAAACACTCACTCTGACTCTATTCTGTGATGTCAGAAACAAGGATGCCGCCACACAGTGTCTCAGCCTGATGGGTCAGAAACAAGGATGCCGCCACACAGTGTCTCTCCCCTGCCGGCACGAGCGGCGGTGTTCGAAATGGGACCTCTTCCACAAACGTCTTTATGCCTGCTGCGGGGGTGGCGGCTTCAGCCCCTCCCCACGCACTCGTGTCTTCACGCCATGTCATGTCCGCCATGTCGTTGCGGGTGCATCCGCTGTGAGGGCCTCCATTGCACCTTTGCACTGTCTCTGCCTGTGAGCATGCGGGCCATTCGGCTCCCAGCATGTGCACCTTTTCCTCGGCGCGTCTGGCGCCCCTCTGCTGTCCGCCGCCTGGGCGCGGACTCTGTCACTTTCGAGGTCCGCCAATGGGGGCTAAAGGTTAGCTGGCAGCGGCTGGTGCCGCTGTGCTGTCGGCTAGCCTTTGCCGCTCCTGTTGGGGTTCTCGGCCTGTGCGCACTGTGCTGGGCCATACGGCTCCCAGCTGGTGCACCTTTTCCCTTTTCGCCAGCCCGTGCGCCCGCGAGGCACCGCGGCCACGGGGCCTGGGCGTGGGGGCGGGGGGTGCCCCGTCTCTGCGCGCCGCGCTGCGGCCAAGCGCCCAACCGGCGGTCCGCCAAGCCGCCTTAGCCACGTTTTCACGTCGCCACTAGCGTTGGGGCCTTTTTCTTCACGCGGTCTGACAGGTGAGATCTTCACAGTCTGTCCGCCGTCCGTTGCTTCAGACGCAATGCGCCGGGGGAAGGGGCCTGTTGCCCGCCCTCGTATCTTAAGGCTGCACCGCCGCTAATAGTGCATGCGAGTTGTCGCACCGCAGTGCGCCTCGCGGACGGACCCTGGTCCGCCCACTTGTCCGCTCTCTCTGCCCCTCTCTCCCTCTCCCTCTCACTATCTCTCGTTCCCTCTCCCTCTCTCTCTCGCTCTCCCTCTCTCTCTCTCTCTTGTTCCCTCTGTCTCTCTCGTCCTCATACGCATATTTTCATGACTAGATATGCGTAAGTATTGCTCGATTGCTCTTTATTTAGTTGTTGTTTCTCTTTTAATACATATATATATACAAATGTGCGTCCCAGTTATCTTTTAGACGCTTATTCGCGTATCCCCCCCCCCCAGAAACGTTGCCCAGGCGATATACCTTGAGCAGGGATGCGGAGGAGCACGCAGTGGAATGAGGGGATGGGGAGACCGGCATACCCCAAGAGGGGAGGATAGAGGAGGAACCGGAGGAGGAGGAGGATTCGAAAGAGGGGGATGGGGAGGGGAGGACGGAGGAGGGACGAGGAGGAATGGTCGGATGAGGAAGAGGCAGCCCGCGCCAGAGTCTCGAGGACGACGCCTACTGCGCAGCAGCGCGGGCGCTGCTCGACCAGGGCAGCGCGCCGGCCGGGGCCCGCTGCTGAAACCGCCTCAAGACAGGCCCGAGGGCGGGGCAACTCTGCGGGCAGGCGCTCTGCCGCAAGGCGCGCCGCGCCTACCGCTGCTCTTGCGGAGGCGGCCCGAAGGCGCGGAACAGGGAGGTCGAGGACATCTGGGAGCGCATCTTCCAGAATTGCGGCTTCCGCACGGCCTGACAAGTGCCTGTCCCTGCCTGGCACCGATGGAACTGGCGTTGCCCCGCCCCTGCCTGCGCGGGCCGCGGCTCGGCGGACGCGCCCCCGCGTGGGCCTTGCGCTGCCTGCGGAGCGGCGCTCCAGGTGGAGGCGCAGCGCGGGGGCTGCCCCAGGCTGTATGCGGACGCGATCGTCCGCTACAGCGCCCCCGGGGAGGCGCGCGTCCTGGCGGCCGCGGCGGATGGCGACGGCGCCGTCGACGCCGACGCCGAGGCGGACAGGCGGTGCCGCTACCCGGCGGGCCGCGCGCCTTGGCCACTTCTGCGCCGCTGTCGCTGGAGATGGACGACCGCCGCGGCAAGGCGGCGCTCCAGCAGCTGCGCTGGCTGGCGCGGAACTAGGCGCAGGGCATCGGCGACGGCCCAGCTGCGGAGGCGGCCGCCGGCGCGCTGATTCGGCGGCGGAGCGCCGAGCTCAGCGCGGCGCTCCGCCGGGCCGCCGCCCAGCAACTCTGCGCGGCCGTGTGCGGCGGGGGCGGGGCGGCGGGCGCGGCCCGCTGGCCGCGGAAATCGTCGGCTGAGCAGCCGCGACGCGGTCCGGAGGCGCGACTGGGGATCGTCGCGGCCGGCTACTGGTTCGTCAAGTTTTCGGCGGAGCTCAGGGAGAGGGCGCTTGCGACCTGACTTCTTTTGCTGTCTCAGGAGGAGGAGGAGGAGGAGGAGGAGGAGGAGGAGGAGGAGTTGGAGGAGGAGGAGGAGGAGGAGGGCGAGCAGAAAGGCCAGAGGCCTCTTGGATCCCACTCGGGGTCTTTTCGGATGTCTCTTGAGAGCTTCTCGGAGTTCTTATTGGACTTCTCGTAGGCGTATTGGAAACCTTTTGGCGGTTCTGGGAGCCTCTTGCAGCGCGTTTGGGGCCTCGGGGCAGCCTCTTGGGAGTTTCTCGGGGGCCTCTTGGGGACCTTTTCGGGTGCCCTTCTTGGCGCGCTTGCTGGGGCCTTCTTGGGGTGTTCTTGGAAGCCTCGGGGGCAATCTTGGTGCAATCTTGTAGGAGCTCGATCAAAGAGGGGGGGGGCTAAACTACCCCCCCACCCAGGAGGCCAAACATTTGGCCAGAATTGTTTCAATGATTTATGCCACATAAGGCCCTCTGACACTTCGCGGCCCCTCCATTTCAGTCTGAGAGGTAGGGGGTAAAGGTAGGGTCAAGCTACCCGCAAGCAACAAGCCGTCTCGCTCATTCCCACCGCGCCCCCGCAGCACATAAGCGGCACCCGAGTTTCAGCGTAGACAGGGGTTTCCATCGACAACGATTGGGAACCACCTGCGCCACGCGCATCATGTGCGCCACATTGGGCAATATATCGGCCCTCCCACCGTCCTTGACGAACAAGCGTGCAAACTGACGGTGGGTTTGTTGTGTGCGGGTGTGCGCCCACGATCGCTTTGCGTGTGTGTTTTGATTGAGATGGCGGTCCTGTGAACAGCAGACAGTATGCTTGCTGCCCTCCCGTCCCTGGCAACAGAAAATTTGTTTTTCATGTGACATGGATGGTCGGCCTGCACGCAGCCAGCAGTCCCCGCCATCCCTGTCAACATCCAATGCAGTGGGAGCGTGGGGCGCCCGCGCATGACGCAGATGTTGGCGCAATGTGCACGTTCACCAGGCCATATGCTGCCCCCCCGACGTCCGTGTCCAAAACCAGTGCAAAGTGATCGCGGGGCGCCTGCACATGATCCGGATTTTGGCACAACGTATATTTAGCGTGTTTGTTGTTTTGGCCAGGCACGGTTGGGGGGTTGGCTTGCGCGCGGCGTGGAATCTGTTGGCACCCTTGCGGTCCTTGTCAAAAGCGAATACAAATTGGTCGCGAGGTGCCCGCGCATGTTCCAGAATGGGAGGCAAGGTGTATTGTTGTAGTTGTTTTTAGAAGATGGTGGGGGGGTGTCCTGGCAGTGATAGCCCTTTCCCGAGGGGGTAGGGGTTTGGGAGATGAGTCGCTCTAAACCGCTCGCGCCCTACGATGTGGCGGGGTTGTCCTTTAGTGTGCTCGTGCCAGGCCCGCGTGGCTTAATCGACATGCTGTGAATTCTCGGTGCCGCCTGGCAGTTCTGAACCCACATTCTCCTCGGAGCGCGACCTCCCCGACAGGCGCTCGGCTGGACGGCGTCCGCGTCCGGCGAGCCGGCGAACAGGAGCCTTGCGAGCCTTAAGCCTCGCCGGGCGGAGGGGCGGACGGGCAAAAGTCTTGCGAAATTGTGACGCCAGACAGAAAGACTAGCGGAAATCAGGGGCCACGCGAGGGAGGGATAGGCGCAGGGGGGTGCATCGACCCCCGTCAGATGATAATGGGATTGGCTGGTGTTGCCACTGATGCAATAACGAGGTAAACACATGTCATAACACCACATCAAAAAAGACAGTGGCAAGATTCTCCCCCCGAATGTGATCGAGCATTGTCTTGCCCAGATTGAAATTTTGGCAACTGGGATACCACAGCCAGTGCTACGTGCGCTGCTATGTTGGTGGCGTTGCGCCCCAATGCGTTTGCACTCATTGAAGTATGCTGTCGCCCTTTTGTTTGATCTGCGCATCGTTGCTAAGAGATTGTGCGGGCGCAAAGTAGTGCTCGCCATTGATGTGCGAGGAAAACCTCCGACAGTGTCGTTTCTGCGTATCGCTTCGTTCCTGCAGCGCAGAGCCACATAATGTCATGTTGTACCTTCGCCGCCCACGACCCACGAGACATGGGTTCGGAAAGCTGACGTTGCCTCGATTCGAGCCCGGCGTCGGCAATCATAGTTAATTACAGGCGTGACTTATGTAGCCATGGCATGTGCCTGCTATATCTCACCAGGTGTTGCTGTCACACGGTTGTCACTCTGTCCGTTTTTTTTCCGGTGTGATACAGGGGTTTTCCCTCATAGCCTCGCGCCTGAAGAGCCCAGGTCATCGCGGTTATCGTCGTGTGAGAGTGAGGGGGGCCCGACCGGTCTTACACTATCCCTGCGCGCACGTGGCTGGATCTGGATTTGGGGGGTCGGCGTCTGGGGGCCACGTTTGGGGGCCACGTTGTTGAACGGGCCACGTTTGGGGGTCACGTTTTGGGGCTGCGTTTTTGCGCCACGTTTGGGGGTTACGTTTGGGGGCCACCAAACGGCTTTGAGGGGCCACGTTTGGTGGTTACGTTTCGGGGCTACGTTTGGGGGGTCAGGCTTGGGGGCGTCTGGCTTCGCCCGCGCCTCCGCCCCTTCACACTTATCCGCAAATGCGGGGTGCCACGTCACGCGCGGTTGCTTCCCTGAGACCTGCCAGTTTGTCTGTCCATCCATTCGTCCGTATCTTTGTCCTTGCGTGTGTTTGTCCGTCTCGTGGCCGGGAATCATGTCTACATAGCCGTGACGACAGTATTCTGTGGTCTGGATGCAAGACTGACGACTGGCGGAGTTGGTGGAGTGGGCGGAGTAGAAATTACTCCGCACGGACATGGATCCCGCCATTTTTTATGATTGGTTAAACGGGGCAATTCCCGATCCCCTTTTCGAGATACCAGAGCTCGCGGTTCAGGGGTGCCCGAATCATGCCGCCGGAGCCCATGCCAGGAAATCTGCGGAGGCATCAGAGATCCCCACACCGTACCAGACCGCACGACTCTTCGCCGCGGCAGTGCAGATACAGTCGGGGCCCTGAAGAAGGAACCCTTTTCGTTGGGGAGGGGCTCGGTGTTCCTCAGTTGTTTTGCGGTTCGCCTTTGGTTTTGCCCAGGGTTCCGACAGGAAATCGAAGCTCAGCTTATAGGGAAAAGGGGCCCCGTTCCTTTTTTTAGGGCTCCTTCGGACCACGCCCCGACGGTACCCTTTCCAGCTCCTGGCGCCTCCGTGGACGGGTCTCCGAGCACACGAGCAGGCGGCACGCAGGCCGCGACCGCGCCACGCCGACCTCCGCGGCTGCTCGCGGCCCGTGCTCTCGGGCCGCGAGGCCGCCACGGATGCCACGGGCGGCGTGGCGCGGCCGCCCCGCGGCGCGAGGCTTAGGCACGGGCTCGCGCATCCCCTTGGCACCGCTCGGACGTGTGCAGTTTTCCTTCGGCGAGGACCGTCGAGGAGCATCCTCGACCATTTGGCGACAAAAACACGCACGACACCGAAAAAAACACGGGGCATGGACGTTCGAGCGATGGCCAGTCCATGGCGTCGCGCCTCGGGGGGTCCACGCCTCGAGGGCGTGCTCGTCGCTCGCGGCCGCTCGCCCGTCTGCCCCCGCGGCCCCCCTCCGTGCCGCCGGCGCTCCGCAGAGAGAGAGCGTCGCGAGCGCGTGCGGCTGCGCAGGGCCTCGGGGTGTTCGCCGGCCGCGACTTCGGCAGGGCAGAGGCCCTCAGAGCCCCCCCCTTCTTCCTCTCTCGCTCTCTCTCTCTCTCTCTCTGTGTCTGTTTGTTTGCCTGCCTGTCTGTGTGTCTCTCTGTCTCTCTCTCTCTCTGGCTCTCTTGCTTTCGCTCTCTTTCTCTCTCGTTCTCTGTCTCTCGGTCTGCCTGTCTCTGTGTGTGTGTCTCTCTCTCTCTCTCCCTCCCTCTCACCCTCTCTTTCTTTCTGGCTATCTCGCGAACGCCACGCCGACCTGGCCAGTGGGCCTCTCGCTGCGGCCGCTGCCGCCAGCCGCGCCTCTGGTCTGGCCCCCCCTCTGCCGCCCGCCCGAGCCGCGCCGCCTTGGCCGGGCACTCCCCTGTCGGTCGACGGGCCCCCGCGGCGACGCCCGCCGTCGCCCCCGCGCCCGACGCACGGCACTGACCGCCGCGCGGACCTCGCCGCGCACCTCGCCAGCACGGCTGCTGCCGCCCGCCCGCCCCCTGTGCCGCGTCTTGCCCAGCGTCGAGCCGCAGAGCCCCGGGCGTCCTACGACCACCCGAGCCTCCAGTGCACCGCGCTTGCGCTCCTGGTTTGCCCCTCGACCTCCCAGCAGGGCCCGCTGATGCAGCGCCTTCACCGCGCCCAGGCCGCCCTGGCCTCCCTCCGACCCTCGCCGTCGCCCGACGGGGCGTCGCCCGTCCCAACGCTGCATGACCTTCTCGGTGCCATGCCTGCCCGCATGGGGCCTACACCACGGCCGTAGGCCCACTGCTCGCCAGCCCGATTGCCCGCGCGGCCACGCGTCGTCGGGGCTTGGCTGCGGCGACGGGGGACGCTTCGTCGTTCGCATACCGCGGAGCGGTCAAGCCCTTGTCCCCCGGCCGCCAAACGGGCCTTCGCTGACCTGGGCCTTCGGTCGCCTGCAGATCGCCATCGTGATCCGCTCCGAAGTGTTCCGCGACTTCAGGGCGCGCAAGATCAACTCCACACTTGGCCCTAAGGAGTTCTTCCACCTCGTCAACTACGCCGTGGCCGATCACCCTGAACGGACCGAGGTGCTGGCCGAATTTGCACGCACTGACCGCATCAGGCAGCGACTTGCCCCCGCTGCTGCTGGTGATAGCGACTAGGCACCGCTGGCGGCTCGACTGTAACAGTCCTAGACATTTTCTGACGGATACCTCGAGATTCGATGACTTCAAAAACACGGTGAAGAGGGGAGCCCTTGAGCTCACGGATGCTAGCGGGCGCTACGTCAGCCCCGACGCTCACCGACCTTGTTGCCGTATTTGCGGCTGCCGACCTGGGGGACGCGTATGGTGTGCATACTGTGGGCGGCCTGTTGGCCCTGGATGCTTTTCGTATGCTGGTCATGCTGGAACAGCTAGGCTAGCTGTTCCAGCATGACCAGCACGTGAACAAAAAACGTCATCGTCATCATGAACGTTATTTTCATCATCGTCGACGTCATCGTCATCATCATCAGCATCATCAGCGTCATCGTCATATTTAACGTCATCGCCATCAGTAACGTCATCGTTCCCAAGCCGTCACCGTCGTCTTGGATGTCATAATTGTGAAGGCCTCACGGCCGGTGCCGCCGACCCTGAAGACGGCGAAGATGAAAACGAGGGCGAGGAGGAGGAGGAGGGGGAGGAGCAGGAGAGGGAGGAGGAGGAATGGGGGGAGGCAGAGGAGGAGCAAGAGGAGGGGAGCAAGGGGGGGGAGGAGAAGGATAAGGAGAAGGAGGAGGGAGGAGAAGGAGGAGGAGGAGGAGGAGGAGGAGGAGGAGGAGGAGGAGGGAGGAGGAGGAAAAGGAGGAGGAGGAGGCCTCCGGGGCGGATGCGTATCTGACCCCCCCACCCCACCCCACCACCCACCCCCCCCCCGGGACCCCCCCCCCCGACGGGGGAGGGATCAAAGGGAAGGTTTTTTTTTGACGTGGTTACGACGTGGGTCGATTTCCCTCAAGGCCGCTAGAGCGCTGCAACGACGACGACGACGACGACGACGACGACAACGACGACGACGACGACGACGACGAGGACGAACAACCCCTCACACACGCCGACACCGGGTCGGTGGATCTATGCGGGTAATACACGATGATGATGGTGACGGTGACGACGATGACGATGACGATGGTGATGAAAAAGCCATGATGATGACGAGGGCGACTACGAGGACGACGATGATGATTCTATTGCTGATCAGAAAGATGTTGATGATGAGCATGGTTTTGAGGTTGAGTCGGTTGAGTACGAAAGCCCGCCCTAAAGACAACCAGCGTTCCCCGAGGTGCGCACCGCCGCCAAGAGTGCGATGGCCGCCTCGGCTACCGCAGGAGCTTGCTGTCGCCGGGACTCCCGTTTACTTGTCCGCTCTGTCTATGGCTCTCTCCCTCCCTCTCTCTTTCTCCCTTTCTCTCTCTCTCCCTCTTTCTCCTGCCTCTCATCTCTTTCCTCTCTCCCTATGATGTGGGTCCTGCGGGGACGAGGGCGCCCGCCTCTTACCGCTCGGCCGCCTTCTGGCAGTTGCGCAGGCGCCACGTCCTCAAAGAGCACGTTTTGAAGTCTTGGGTCAAACGACTCTGATCCCCAAGGGCCCAGTGACCAGCCCGACCAAGCACCCGACACTCTCGCCGGCGCCCTCTTAGGCGTAGACCCCCAGGGAGTAGCGCAGCGCGGTCGCCCGTCTTTCCGTCGACGACGCCGCGTGCCCGGCTCAGTTCCGGCGGGGGAACGAACACAGCAGCGACGTCGCCATAAGTAACGCCAGCAAGTCTTCCACTAGAGACAGAGAGCCCCTGTCGACCCCAGGGCCACACCGCCATGGCCTGGCCCACTATGGCCATCAGCCGTCGGTCAGCACTGCACCCGACTGGCCACGCAGCTTCCCAGGCGCAGCCTCAGGGGGCGGAGTTGCCCCTGCTCACGCTGTTCACCGGCCAGCGCAGGCCCAGGGCCAGAAGAACCACCACGTGGCGACAGGCAGCGTGTCCTCGTCACTGGCGTTAACCACCATTGGCGCCGCGGCTTTGCCAGCCCAGCCCGCTGGCCCAACTGGCCATGTGGCTCCCCCGCGCAGGGCCTGGCACGCCGCTCAGACGGCCGTGGTGGCCCCCTTCCCGTCACAAGTGCAAGTCATGCAGGGCCATGCTCAGCTTGCGACCGATCGCTCGACGCGGCTCGAGCGTCAGCTTGGGCATGCCCAGTCCCTGTAGGACCGTGTTCGCCGCACGACGCGACAGCACCTCATCGCGCTGCGTGATCTGCACGCCTCAGTGCAGCGCCAGGCCTCGCGCGCCCCCTCGACGGCGAGCGCCCCCGCCTCTGTTTCAGCCGCCGCCCAAGCGGCCCAAGTCTTCTCGCCACCAGCGCCATCTAACCCTCTCTCCGAGGTCCGTGTGCCGCCTGGCAAGCGTCCGCCGCGGCCTCCCCCAGTGCGGGCCCTGAGGGGCGCCGCCACTACCAGCGAAGTGCCGTCATGCCGAAGACGGATGCAGGTTTAGCTTTGCCCTACAGACGAGGTTCGAACGGCTGCGAGGCAGTGCCACTGTACACCATTTGCTCGCTGGGGTGGGGCCCCCCTCGCCCCTCCCTCTCCCCCTTCCCCAGGCCGACCGCCCAAGACCCGTGCGCAAGGCCCATTTAGCCGACAGCACCGGCCAAAGTGTTTCTGGTGTGGCGCGCTTGCCCGCCGGCCCGTGGACGGGACTCCGGCCCAGATGTTCTGACCTCTCTCTCTTTCTGGCTCTCTCCCTCTCTCTCTCTCTCTCTCTCTTTCTCTTTCTCTTTCTCTTTTTTTGTTTCTCTCCCTCTCTCCCTTTCTCTTCTCTTTCCCTCTGCTGTGGGTCTTGTGGGGCGAGGGCGCCCGCCTCTTCCCGCTCGACCGCCTTCCGGCGGTTGCGCTGGCGCCACGTCCTCCAAAAGCAAGGGTCTCTCCCATAGGACGCACTGCTGTAAACAGTCGCGCTCAGCACAGGTCCAGGGCCAGACTCCCCCCCCTCCCCCTGCCCCTGCCGCCCGATGCCGAGTAAGAAAGCGTCCGGCGCCGCGGCTCACGGCCGACCTGCTCGCGCATTGTTGTTCGGCGGTTGGCAGGTCATCTCGCAGAGGGGGGCTTGCGAGTCGATGTCGGTTTCGGGCCGCGTGTTCTTTTCTCCGCTGGGGGACCATACGCGGTGGTGCCCGTGAACAGCGTAAGCATCTAGATTGTTTCGAAGCAATCGGAAACCAATCGAGTTGTTTGTTTGATTGTTTCGATCGCTGCTTGCTCGATCGCCCTTTGGGATCTGGTCCCCAGCGCAGGCACTCGGTGACATGCTATGTTTTCACATCGCACGGGAGCCATGACTGTCGGGCCCCAAGTTCGAGTCAGCGTGTGTCACGCACGAGGCCTCAGTGCTGGGTATGGCAGCCCCCAGAGGGTGGAGGGAGGCGGAACCGCGGGCGCGGCCTCCTCTTCTTGAGGTGGTCGCCGCAGTGCCGCGGCGCCTCTGCTTGCTGGAGCCGGTGGCAGCCGTGCCGGCGGAGCCCTCCGAGGCGCGCCCCTCCGCACCCTTCGGCGGCACGGCCAATTGGTACCATGCCCTGGGTTGCGACGCCAGCAGGCGGGCTGCCGCCGGCCTGGCGGCGCAGCTGCTCCGCCAGCGGCTCTTGGGCGCGAGCGCGCCGCTGAGCCACTACTGCGGCACTGTCACGCCGGAGATGCCTCTGTCGCTGCAGCCACTGGCTGCGCCCCCGTGGGATGCGGCGCTGCTCTCGCACAGCCCGCTGCTCGTGCGCCTGCACTCAGAGGCCGCGCGCTGTGACGACACCTGCCTTGCTTTGCTGAGCGCGCAGCCCATCGCCACGGCTGCGAGCGAGAGGCTCAGGCGCTGGGCGCTCTGCGCGGTGCTGACGCGCAGCTTCTCGCTGTATGGGGGCTTGCGGGGCAGAGCCAGAACTTTGGCCATGGTACCCTTCCTCGACTTGCTGAACCACCGGAGCCCCTGCGAAGGTCGCTCGGCACCCACCTGCCGCTTCGAGGAGCAGAGCGACTTGCTTGCCATGGTCACCACGAGGGCTGTGCGATCGGGCGAGGAGCTCACCTTCTCCTACGCGCTGGCGCCGGACGCTGCGCTGCTCTGCCAGTACGGCATCCCTGGCAGCGGACTCGGCGCGAACTCCATGAACGAGGCGATGGTGCCCGTGCCGCCGTCTGCACTCCGCGCCAGCCCGTGCGGTGCGCCTGCAGCTGCACCGCCGGACCTTGCGGCCGCCAGGCTCGCCGCACTGGAGCGGCAGGGCTGGCTGAGCGCAGGGGCGCCGCTGCTGCTGTCCGTGCCGGCGGACTCGTGCCCGCGGGACGGCCGGCTTGCGCGCCTCGCGCGGCTGCTGGCGCTGGGCAGTGCGCCGGAGGTTGAGCGCTGGGAGCGCCACCTGCTGGCCCCCGTGCCGGAGCACAAGGCCCCCGCTGGCGGCAGACGCACGCCAGCCAGGCGCGCGGAAGCCCAGGGCGGAGCGCCCGGGGCGGGCTGGCCCGGCGACGCGTCGCTGGAGGCGCGTGCCTGGCGGCTGGTGGCGGGCTGGGCCCGCGAGGCCTGGCGGCTGGCATCCGAGGCGCTGGGAGGCCTGGCCGGCAGAGAGCCCGAAGCAGGCGCCTCGCCCGCCCCGCTCCGGCTCGCAGGGGAGGGGCGGGGCGTGCCGGCAGCGGACCCTCGCTGGCATTAAGTTGGGCCTGTCCCTCTACAGGGGGGATATATTCAAGAGTAGTCACAAGATAGTCTGGGGACTATTTTTGTTAGTATTGTTGAGCATTGTTGGAGCATGTTGGGGGCATTTTTCCTTTTTCGTCCAAAGTCGGCCTGTAGGGGGACAGGCCCGACTGAACGCTGGCGGGCTGGGGCGGGGTCATCGCCCGAGATCGGCGGTTCAACGATGGGGCCCCGAGGTCGGACGGGGCTGGGACGAGGCTACATCCGTGCCAGAGCGCTCCGGAACGCTCTCGGAGCGTTCGGGGACGCTCTGAGAAGGCCGCGGCGCCCACGGCATCCTCCAGAGCCGCCAGGTCTCAGAGGTTCGCGATTTATCCTGACTCGATGTCATCTTCGGCCTGGCTTCGTCTTATGAGGGATGGGGCCCGAACGGCAAGGGGCCTCGAAGAATGCAGATTCAACCTGGGATTGCTTCCTCTCCATGGGGAGCCTCATCCCTTAGGTTCCCATCTCTGAGCCGCCGACGAGGGGGGGCAAGTGGGGGAGGTGAGGGAGCAGCAGCGGCAGTCGGGTGAGGAGGAGGATGGTGACGAGGACGCGGACACGGGTGAGTGAGGAGTTGAGAATAGAGATGGGATGTGGGAGAGATCTTTTTCCAGTACGCGTGAAACAAATTGCTAGCTTGATTCGCTGACTCGAACCGAATGGTTACAGACCGTGCTGGCTGCGGCGCATGTGCTGAACACCTGCATGAGAGCTCACCTGAATGCTGGGCTGGCTGGGAATCTGCCTTTCGACTCTGATATTTATCCTTTGGTGACTGTCAACGTCACAGACACCACCGTTCCTTGGAGAACATAGCCGTCACCTCCGTTGTAAGAGAGTATAGCGAAAGAGAAAAATACCAGCACGCAAGGAATCACTCACATGTGCCGCGGCCTCTTCTTCGGCTGTCTTGCTAGGTTGCGCCACGGGGCAACTGTAGGGCCTTCGTTGCCCCAGTGGCCCTCTGCACCGCACGCGCGGCAAGCCCAGGAACCGAGCGCCGCGCTTGGCTTCGAGCCGGCGTCGGGCGCAGGGCGCTTCGGCAGAGGGCGCCTGGCCCACGGGGCCGCCGTCGGGCCGGGCGCAGTCTTCGGCGCAGCCGTCGGCCCTGGCTGGAGCGGCACCGATCCGCTCTTGACCTGGACGGCGTTCGGCGCAGCCGTCGGGCCAGGCGGGCGGCGGGCCCGACCGGAGTGGGCCCGATCCACTCTTGGCGCCTTCGCGCCTCGGCAGCGCTGGCCGAGACTTGGACCGAGTCCCAACAACCTCTGGAGCGTGCTCCTGCTTGGCCATGTGCCTGCGTGCGAAGCCGGTCGCACAGCTTCCGGAGGTCTGCCCCGTGCTCGCTCCTGGTGTCGTCGACGGCGTCGTTGTACCTCCGCTTCTCGAAGTCGAGGGCAAGGCTGCCTGGGGCTGAGCACCTCGTTGTCCGCGGCTGCGGCACGGCCGCCGCCGACGAGCCTCCCCAGGGATCTTCGCGGGCCCACGGGTCCTCGCCGTCGCACCGGGCAGCCCCTCCGTCCAGCTCGCGGGCCGCGGCCCGCGGCCTCCCGCGCCTGTCGGCCCAGTCCACCTCGTAGGTCACCTCCGCGACGGCGGAGAGCGAGGGGGCCTGTGACACTCGACGCGCGGATGAAGATGCCCTTGCCGCCGCCGCTCGGGACACGGATGCCCCAGCGCTCCCTGTCGTTATGCTTTCTCTGACGCGGCCGCACGCGGGTTCGCGCGGGGGGTCTCGGCGTCGGCTGGGTCCTTCTCCTGCAGCTGGAGCGGCTGCTGCAATTGGCCCGCAGGCGAGGGTGGCTGGCCAATAATTACCCATGAGCGTGAGGACCGCTGCGCCTGTCTGTTCACCATCATGTGCTGGGCCTGCGCGAAGAACGCGCCAAGGTCCGAAGCAGCCGCCGGCTGGTGGTAGCCGCAGGCACCCATTGACTGGCGCGCCGCGCAACCTTCCGCCACACCACTAGAGAGCATCCCCTGGACCTGCTGCGTCTGGGCCGCCTCGGGCGCGGCCGGCGCCGCACCGTCCGCGCAGTGTCCGCCTCTCGGGCGCCGTGGGCAGTGCGCCACCGGGTGCTCGTCGGAGTCGCACTGGTGGCACCTCGGAGCGTTGCCGTCCTTGCCGGTCGGGTTCTTCCTGCCTCGGCCTCTCGTCTTGCCGCCGAAGTAGGCCGAGTTGGAGCTCTGGTACAGGCCACCATGCTTGCCGAAACCCAGGCCTCTGCCAGGCTTGCCTTTCCGGGCTGCTTGCCCCAAGACCCGTTCTTGCCCGAACCCTTGCGGCCAGGGCGTCGCGAGGCCCTCGTGCGCTTGCCCGTGAAGCGCCTCCACTCCCGGCGCGCAAGCAGGCAGGCTTGGTGAAGCTCGTTGGCCTGCTGGTTGCTGTAGTCGGGCTGCTCGTGATTGGTGGCGGCCCTTCTTCTGAGGTTGCGCTCGACGAGCCGTCGTCGTCTTCGTCATGCACGTTCATGCCGTACGCCTTGCACTCCACGCCTGGGTGCGTGCTCCATGCCAGCCGGTGCCTGATCCGGCCATGGCCGGAGCGGCCGCGGCGGAACACGCAAAGTACCCGCCTGAGGCCGCGGCTCCATGGTCAGGAGCGAAAGAGGACGCACACGTACATGAATCCACGCTGTTTTCGAGAGTTCGCATGGAGCGAATGTTCGTGTCGCGCGGCCAGTCTCGCGGGTCAAGGAACCATGTTCATGTACACAGCTGGGCGCGTGCGTCCTCTGTGGGCTCCCTGCTTGGGGAACGGGGGGGGCGCCGCCCCCCGGCTCGACGAGGAAGCTCACAAGGGCTCCGTTCGCGAAGTGAGAGCGCCCTGCTGGGGTGACTGGTTCCTCGCACCCTCAGGCGAGCGGCCCTGGCGGCGGAGGTGCTCTTCCATCTGGATGCGCTCCTGCTCCTGCGTCGGCATCTTGCCGCCTGGCGGCTGCAGCAGCAGTGTCCACATCTGCGGGGACACGTGGAGTGCCCGTAGCACAGGGCGTGCTGTGCCCGTCGGTCCAAGGCTCAAGTTCGCCTCCTCGTTCGCCCTGTACGTCAAGCCGTGGCGTAGCGGCACATCGCGGCGTCGATCGTTTCGCCGCTCATACGCTGAAAGCCCAGATACGCCTGTGCTGCCTGCACGTTCGCGCAGCAAGAACTCTTGAGACATCACGTATAACACAATCGTCAGGCCCGTCTGCAGGGCAGGGCCACTGCCGTCCATCACGTCGACGGGGCCACCGTTGGCCAAGACGTTCACGCCGACAGCCCGGAGGATGTCGCGGACCGTGCCCGTCTGCTGGAGCACGACCGCCGGCGCCTGCTGATTGATCGATAGGTCCGTGGCCATAGACCACAGCATCACATCTTGTACTCACTTGCAGAAAGGGTACGTGGACGCCGTCCTTGGGTCCCATCTTGGAGGTACCTGCAGGCTGATGCTGCCGTGCACCGTTCCCGAAGGAGCAGCTGCAGTCGGCGGCGGTGCCCGGTGCCGACATGTCTCTCTGCGGAGTGGCTGTGCAGTGGTGCTCTCACGGAGCCGAGTGGTAGCGTCCCAGAAGCGAAGGATCTTGGTCCCCCGCTCCGCTGCCAAAGTTGAGCGTAGGAATGGGAAGTGGGAGAGATTGTTTTCCAGTACGTGTGAATTAATTCGCTAGCTTGATTCGCTGGCTCGAGCTTGATGGTTACAGACCGTGCTGGCTGCAACGCATGTGCTGAACAACTGCATGAGAGCTCACCTGAATGCCGGGCTGGTTGGGAATCTATCTTTCGACTTTAGGAGTCGGAGGAGGAGAACGGGAGGAGGAGGAGGGGGAGGAGGAGGAGGAGGAGGAGGAGGAGGAGGACGCGGAGTTAGAGAGGAAGCAGTGGAAGGGTGGACGAGGACCGAGGAGAATGAGGGCAGTGGAGGAGGAGGAGGAGGAGGAGGAGGAGGAGGAGGAGGAGGGGGAGAAGGAGGAGGAGGGGGAGGAGGAGGAGGAGGAAGGGAAGCAATTTCTGGGTAAGTGTGTGTGTGTGTGTAAGAGGAGGCGGAGGCCCGGCTGGCCGTGGACAGTCGATCAAGATTATGGGGGTTGGTGGGACAGGGATTTCGTCGCTGCGAAAAACTGTTCGCGCGGCCCCAACTGGTTTCCAAGACTGTTGATCTCCCAGTTGATGGTTGCGACATGGTTGCGCAGATCGTATCGCAGCATGCTTGGCAGCGGCGACGCCAGCTTCTGCTCTGGCGGTTTCGCACTCTTCAGCACGATCGTCGACTGTAAGCTCTCCGACGGGGCCGAGGCACGTGATCAACATATTCGGATCGCACAGCTTGACCAGTTCCAGGGAGGAGTCGGTTCTATTGGTGAATTGTTTGCTGCTGCTACTGCTCGAAAATTGATGGTCCAACTCCGGAGGAGGCTTGGCGCATACGCACACACCAGTACCGGTACTTCTGATATTTCTTCTGCACAGGACTTCGAGGCGGATCCTACCGTGGCGACGAGGGCTCCCGGGGAGACCCAGAAAAACGAAAACGAGCGGAGGGCGCCGGTGTCTACATGCTGGGGGCACGCCTTTCGGAAGCCTCTCGCAAGTCTCTCGGAAGCTTGTCGAAAGCCTCTCCGAAGCTTGTCGGAAGCGACTCGCTAGCCTCTCGGAAACCTTTCAAGATTTCTTCAGGATTTTGAGAATATTCTAAGGATGACTGGAGGATCTTCTACGGATCTCTGAAAGATCTTCTAAGCTGCGCTGAAGGATCTTCCAAGGGTCCCTGAAGGATCTCTGAAAGATGTTCTGACGGTCTCTCGAAGATGTGTCCAACTGGTGGGGGCTGCTACCGGAAGTGCTTGAGACTCTGGAGAACTTGATGGACTCCGTGCGAGTGGGCTGTAATTTGTTCCATTCCGCCCCCCCCTCGCTCGAGATCCCACCTCAGAAATCAGCGTCGGGCGCCGGCCGCGGCGCCAGCCAGGCAGCCGCGAGTGGGCCGTGCTCGCCGTCGCCGCCGCGGAGGAGGAGCGGCCTGGCGCGCGGCGCGAAGGGCCCCGGCCGAGCGCAGCCGCCCCAAAGCCCACCTGGGGAGTGAAAATGAGCGCCTCGCTCGAGACATCCTCCAAATCTGCTCCGAAAGCGAAGGATGTTGAGACAGAAAACAGGCAAACCGCTTGAGACATCCCCGGGGGCGGCCAAGAGGGGGTTTGGCGACTCGGGGGGCTGGGCATCATGGCCCTGGCCGTGCCGCAGTCAGGAGCTGCGGGTCAGCGCGTCGCTCCGCCGGCGCTGGCGCACCACGCTTCGGCGCGCCACGCCGTCGACGCCCCAGCCCCCAAGGCATCAGTGCTCGGAGTCTTTTCCCAGGTGCCCGCCTGTCGGAGCGGCGCGACGCGCTGTCCGCTTGCACGGGACAGCGCGTCAATGCGTCGCGGGGCCGCCGCCGCGACACGCCAGGCAATGAGTTCCAGAGGCATGTCTCCAGACTCAGTGGCCTCTTCATAGTTATTCTTCCAGCAAGTTTCATCGCCCCTCCCGGGTCGCGCACGTGCCTCAGGCCATGATCTGCGAGCCACTCTTTCGGATGCCCCATCTTATAGATAGTAGGCAAGTCGCGGTAGTTTCCGCTCGTCCAGTTTTGAATGTATAGCGCCCGATGGCGCGCGCACCGCGCCCAGCAGAGCCGAACAGCATTCAAACAGCGCCCAACAGCGTCCAGTGGCGCCATGCCAGTGTGGCGGCAGTGTGTTGCGCTTGCTCTGCGCGCTGCTGGGCGCGCTGCTGGGCGCCGTGCGGACGACGCACGCCTTCCGTGAGTTGCTCTCGAGCCTCCTTGGGCGCCCCCGAGGAGCCCCCCGAGGGTGCGCCCCGCCCGTGGGGGGGAACAAAAACACACACAGGGGGAAACAAAACCAAACATACAAAACACACACACAAAAAAAAACACAACAAACAAAAAACAGGGCCGTCGCTTCCACGATTCGTTCGCCCCGCCGCGGGCACGCCTGCGGGGCGGCAGCGGGCGCACCGGCCCGAGACGGCGGAGCCGGGCGGGGGGGGTGGCCAGTGTGGGGGGCGGCCCCACCACGTCCGGCCTGGAGAGGGGCCGGAGATTCCCAGGCCCCCATTGCAATTGGGGGACTGCTTTTCCCGGCCCTCCTGCGTTGGGTTCTCGTCTTGCCCAGGCCACTGGTCGCGCACGCCGCCTCCCTCCTCTGTTCCGTCTTGCCTCTCCTGTCCTGCCTGCCTGCCTGCCTGCCTGCCTGCCTGCCTGCCTGCCTGAGATTGCTCTTTCGTCGGTGAGCCCGTAGCGTCTGTCACGGAGGATCGCCCCCCCGTTCCCCCCACCCCCCCCCGTGACGATAGCAAACGTACGCGGGGGAGGGGGGGGGCAGGCTCCACCACATCGAGCCCAGAGAGGGGCTGGGGGCCTGGGGTCCCCATTGGGGATGGTTCGCTCTTCGGTGAACCTGTATCGTCTGTTACGGGGAGTCGCCTCCCCCACCCCCTGTAACAGTACCATTTACGCGGGGGGGTGCGGCTCCACCACGGCCAGCCCGGAGAGGGGCTGGGGACCCCAGGCCCCATTGCATGGAGGTGATTTTCGTTTTCGGTGAACGTGTAGCGTCTCTTACGGGGGATCCCCCCCTTCCTCTTTCCCCCACAGCCCGTAGCAGCGGTACCAAACGTGTGCGATGGGGGGCGGTGGCCGGCTTCACCACAGCCAGCCCGGAGAGGGGTTGTGGACTTGAGACTTCCCATTTTCGAAGGTGTAGTTTCGCAGGCAGTGGCCCGCATCGCTCGTTCTTGTCTGTGCGGGGGCCAGTCGGGGTACATCAGGCGATCGCAAACATGGATCAAGGGGGCGTGGATTAGCGACGGGTCCTGCTTCCATTGGAAATCGGGGATTTCCGCTGCCGAACGAGGCAACAACGGCCAAATTTTGGTCAGGGCACCTCCCCCGATCCATGGATTTGGCGACCGCGCGCCAAATCCATGGATCGCTAATCCATGTTTGCGCGCCCCCGAGTAAAAGAGCCGCTGAGTTGTGGATGCCGTTTGGCCCTGAATGTACGAAGCACGTCCTGACCCACTGCGTAGATCCAGGACATGGTTGAAGGATCTCCAGTGCTGATGCAACCTCACAAAACGCGTGTCGATGCAAATCATCAGCTACATGTTAGCCCACAGACCAGGCAATTAGTTTGATATCGGTGCGTGCGAAAAGCAACCATCTACGCGAGCGACTGCGCCGGAAGACGCGCCCAGAAAGTCCGCGCGGGCTGCTCTTTCGCTCTTTCCGCGCGGGCTGCTCTTTTGCTCTTTCGGAACGCGCAGAGGCGAACGCGAAGCCAGCGCGCGGCGCGCCGCGCTGCTCTCCCCGCCCCCCCCTCCCGTTGTGCAAAGCTGGATGCAGGCGCGGACTGCGCCGCCCGGCCCGCGGGCCATCTTCGTGCAATGGGGGAGGGAGTGGGTGATCAAGAAGTGATGAGGATGTGAGGAATGATGATGAGCGGCCCAGTGATGATGAGTGAGTGAGTGAGTGAGTGAGTGAGTGAGTGAGTGAGTGAGTGAGTGAGTGAGGGAGGGAGTGAGGGAGGGAGGGAGGGAGGGAGGGAGGGAGGGAGGGAGGATGATGATGATGATGATGATGATGATGATGATGATACTGATGATGATGATGATGATGATGATGATGATAATGATGATAATGATAATGATGATGATGATGATGATGATGATGATGATGATGATGAGTGGTGATGCGGGTGATGATGAGGAGGGTTCGGATGATGAGTGGCGACGATGATGATGATGATGATGATGATGATGATGATGATGATGATGATGCTGATGCTGATGATGATGATGATGATGATGATGATGATGATGATGATCGATCGATGACAGATGGTGGCAATGATCGATGGTCGGGTTGAATGCGTGAGCGAGGCGGAGAGGTGGAGGGGGTGAGGTTCCTGCGCGGGGGGTGTCTAGAGAAAACGAGAGCCCCCACTTAGGGTGTGGGAAAAACGGTATCAACCCAAACCTTCGGCGCTCCGCGCGGATTTCCCGGATCTGCGCCAGAGCGCCACAAGTAGGTGTTTATGCCGCTTTTCTTGTTCTAGAGAGGCGAGGTCGGTGACAAAACCCTCGGTTGGGTCGGCGGGGAATCCGTCCCGTCTCCCTGCGTGCTGTCCCCCCTGCTCCCTCCCGCCTGCCCGCCTGCCTGCCCTGCCTCGTCTCGCCGGCCCTGGCCTCTCGCCGGCGCGTTGGTCCGTCGCTTGCAGGCTCTTCTTTCCTTTATCCCAGAGGCTGACGCCATTCCGCCGACCCCCAGGGGAGGAGAGAAGTTCTCGGGGGAGGAGTGTGTGTGTGTGTATGTGAGAAAGAGAGAGAGAGAGAGAGAGAGAGAAAAAAAAGAGAGAGAGAGAGAGAGAGAAAAAAAGAGAGAGAGAGAGAGAGAAAGAGAGAGAGAGAGAGTTTGTTCGTATTCGTATGTGTTCGGGGTTTTCTGGCCTCCTCCATCCTTGCGCTCGGCCGGGCAGCGCGGACTGCCGGCCGGGAGCCGGCCCGGGGGACGCTGCCCCGGGGGGCCCCGCCGCTCCCCGCGCCCTCTTGCCCCTCGGCCCGCCCGCGCTCCAGGAGCTGCTCGCCGAGGCGGCCGGCGACGCCGAGCGGCGCGCGCTGGCCGCGGAGCTGCGGGGCGCCGCGGGCGGCGGCCGCGGAGCTGCGCGCGGCGGCTCTCCGCGGGGGCGGCGCGCGGCGACAAAAGGGAGGAGGGAAGGCCTGGGCACAGCAAGGAGCCACAGCCACAAGGAGGTGGATTGTTCGGGAGGGCCCCTCGGGGGGGGGGGCCCTCGTGCCCCTCCGCCTGCGCGTGCCACCGGTCCTCCTGTTCCCCCCGCCGCTCCCCCGCTCCAGTTCTTGCCGCTGCTGTTCGTCCTCGTCGTTTTCTTCCCGTTCATCCTCCTGCTCGCCCGCCACCTCCTCCTCCTCCTGTGCACGCAGCCGCCCTTCTTTCCGATTGCGCATACCACGATGTGGTCTTTCAGTTGGAGCTGCAGGTCGGCTCCGGCACGCGCCCGCGGGCAGAGAAGAGTCAACGCAATGGGAAGGGATGGGAGGGAGGGATGGGAAGAGGGGGAGGATGCCCCTGGGCCCCTCACCCCTCTCCTCCCCTCCCATCGCCTCCTTACCAGCTCCCTCCTCTCCTCCACCACCCGCCTACCACCACGCACCGCATACCGTGCCACACCTACATCGGATGGGCACTGGGGGCCATTGCCAAGTCGAGCCGCCCACCGCCCTCCCTCCCCCCCACACACACACGAGGGGAGGACACCGTCGCCAAATCGAGTCCTTCACCGCGCTCGCCCAGGTATTCGCGAGCCCATCAGGGGTGTGTCCGCGGCCGCCTTGGGTCACGTCATTCCTAGAGTCGAGCTGTTGGCGGCGTTTTCGCGGTGGGACAAAGTTTCCAATTAACCCGCGAGCCCATCAGAGGGGAGCGCGGAGGGGGTGGACACCGTATCAATGGGAGGAAGGAGGGGGCGCGCCCCACATCATCTCAGGATCCTCCTACCCCTCTGGCCTTCTTTTCTGCGTCTGCGCCCTCGCCCGCCTCTACCCCCAGAGATGTGATGGCATGCTCTTGTGAATACGGGGTCCCCAGAAGTCGCCCTCGCCCGCCTCTACCCCCAGAGGTGTGATGTCATGTTCTTGTGAATACGGGGTCCCCGGAAGTCCCCACCCTGGTCCAGAGCCCAGCGTTCGATCGCGAGCCGTTTCTTGACGGTCCCAGGGCCCGGCGAGGGCCCCCAGAGACCGAAGACTGCTGAGAACCTTGCGTCCTGACCGTTCTGCTGCGCGATCATGCCTGGGCCCCTCCTGGCCGCTTCTGCACGGGGGCTGGACCTCAACGGTGTGTTTGGTGCTTTCTTGGGCCCCTTTTCGTTTCGACCTCGTTTTGCGGTGAAGGCGGAGTCGAGGCAGAAGCGAAGGAGAACGAACACGAAACGAAAGCGAAAAACACCGTCTAGGTTCCGCCCTGTTCTGCACCTCCCGGCCGCGTGGGCGGCCCGAGGGGAGGGCCGGGGCTGTGGGGGCCCGTCCGCGCCTCGGTGCGGCAGCGGCCCGGCGCGATGGCGGCCGAGGGCGAGGCGAGCGCCCAGCAGAAGGTGGGGCGCCGCTGCGGCGGCGGGGGGAGGGGAGGGGGGGGGAGGGGAGGGGAGGGGAGGGGAGGGGAGGGGGGGGAGGGGAAGGGAGGGGGAGGGGGAGGGGGAGGGGAGGGAGGGGAGGGGAGGGGCGCCGCTGCGGCGGCGGGGCAGGCGAAGGGCGGCAGGGGAGGGGAGGGAAGGGCGCGGAGGCCACCTGTGCGGAGGGAAGGGCCCAGGCTTCAGTCGGGCCTGTCCCTCTACAGGGGGAAGATTCAAAAATAGTCAAAAATAACCCCGGGACCATTTTTTTGTTTACTGTTTTGGTGTATTGTTGGAGCATTCTTTTCCAATTTTTGATTCGTCCTCCATAATCCGCCTGTGGGGGGACACGCCCGACCTAAGCCCAGAACTCGGGCGCCACGTGAAGGACAATCGAGACGGCCGTGTCGCGTCGTTTTCGGCCTCCCAGGGCCCTCCCTGGGCCTCGGGGCCGTCAGAGAGCGGCTCGGGATCGGGAGCACCGATCCGGGGGCAGTGGTCGAGAGGTCCGGGGCCCGTGCCTCGAGGGGACGAGCCGCCGGATGTCCGGGGAGAGAGGGCCGCGATCGCCGAGACAGCCTCTCTCGGGGCGTCGGGGCGGAGGGGTTGCCGGCCCCCGTTTGTAGGGGGCCACATGCGAACCCCACCCCTGCCCCCGATGACTTCTGAGGGGGAGGGTGGGGCTCACTTCGTTCGGGAGCCCCCGAGCGAAATGAACCCCACCCTCCCCCGCAGAAATCGTGGGGGTAGGGGTAGGGTTCGCATGTGGCCCCCCCTTTTGGCATCCCAGCGCGTGTCGGGTCGCAGGGCGAGGCAGCCTCGAGGGGCGAGGGGGCAGGCGAGCCTTGGGGAAACACGGGGCCCTGCCGGCCGGGGCGTACCGTCTGGCTCGCCCAGAGGCCCACCGAAGAGTGTTCTAAGTACCTCTTTGTGGTTTCGACGATATGTTCTCAGAACATTCTGGCTGGGACTGTCGTCGTTTAACACGTCGGGTGTATGTTCTGAGAACATTGGTTGTGTTATCAGAACATTGCTGGGTTCGAAGAAGATGTCGTGGTAGGCCTATAGAACTGCCGGGACGGTCGGCCCCTTCTCAATGTTTGGCAATATCGTGGACCGTTTCCGTTTTGATGTCGTTTCCAGCGAAGGCGGAACGAAGACAAACCGAGGGACAACGAAAGCGAAACAAAGACGAAAAGCACGGTCTTGGTCGAGCCCAGCTATGCTTCTCTTCTCTTCCGAGTGGCCGCTCTGATGTTTTCGCTCGCGCCCTCTGAGAAAGCAGCTGTCCCCTGAAGAGCGAGCTGCGCTGGCTTCGTTCTCGAGCATCTCTTGGATGCGCAGTGTTTGGCAGGGCAGCACGGTGCTCGTCTTCGGTTTGTAACGATGGCTTGAGCGTCTAGTTTGACTCGTCAAATCCGCCCGCGACACCCTTGCACACGAACAGCGGGCTGGATGCATACTCTCGAGGCTCTTCCTCAGTATATCGGGAGGTCGGGGGTCTGCGCAACCGACGCCCTCTTGTTCGGCAGCTGCTCTGCTGCCCGCCGCAGCTGCACGTCCGCGCAGGGCCCGGGGCTGCCGCGCACGGGAGGCACCCATGGTCCCCGGGCTTCGCTGGAGCCGCCTCCCCCAGCAGTAACATGACAGCCGCCCGCTCACTTGCACAGTGGTGAGAGGGTGGGCCGCGCTTCTGTTACACCTGCAGGATGGCCTGCAGGTGCCTTGTCTTTCTCTGCCTAAATCGGGTGGAGATTTGCACAGCAGGTCGCCCTGCTGAAGCGAGCTGTGTCGCCTGCCTCACAGCTCGTTGCACTTCAGGCAGTGGCGGCGTTGAGTCCAAAAAACTCCGCTTTCGGAGCAGATTTGGAGGATGTCTCGAGCGGGGCGCTCATGTTGCACCACAGGGGGCCCAGATGGCGAGGAAGTCTCGAGCGGTTTGTTTGTTTTGGGGGGCCAGGCTCGTCTGCGCTCAGAGTAGATTCTTTCAGGAGGCTCCTGAAGCTCCACAGCAGTTCCAAGAGGGCACCAAAACGGCCCCACTAGACCCTCGAGCTCCCCCAGGAGGCTCCCAGGAGGACCTCCGAGGGGGGCCAAGTCAGTCAACGGCTTCTGGAATTTTCAGGGTTATCCTTACTCTACGTGTGCTCTTGGGTTGTCACTTCTCGACGTCATACGGCTCTCTGATGGCCTCGGAGCCCCAGAATAATTCCAAGAGGGCCCCACATATTGCCCCAAGATGGCCCAGGACTGCCCCACGAGAGCTTCAAGAATGCCGACGACTGCCTCCGGAGGAGCCCAAGACGGCCCGAGAGGACCGGAAGAGGGGCCCAAGAAGGCCCGAGAGGACCCCGACAGGGTTCAAGACAGCGTCAGGCGGCTCAAGAGTGTCCCTGACTCAAGACTCAAGAGGGGGAAAAACACGCAGATAATCTTCGATCCCAAGGAAAACACGGAGACCTATGGGAAGTGGGGGGGAAGACGAAACTCCAGATCATATGGGAAATATGGGGAATCCTCGGATTTGTGTCTATTTGTTTGCGCGTGTCCTTGCACGAGTGACCCTGGCTCAAGACGGCCAGGAGAGCCCCCAAGACGGGCCGAGAGGCCTCCAAGACGGCCCCAAGAGATCCCCAGGGCGGCCCACGAGAGGGCCCCCAGGACAACCCCGATAACAGCCCCAGGAAATTTCCAGGCGGCCCCAAAGCAAGCTTGCAAAAACATAGAATCACAACGCAAGAAACCTCCAGGCAGCCCATCTAGCATGCGACCAGGCGACCGTCCAGGCAGCATGAACACTCCCGCCCGTGTGGCGTGCGGCCCACAGGTGCCCCCCAAGACCTCCACGACGGCCACCGAAAGCCCGCAGGAGGCTCCCGCCCTGCCCCCCCCCCCCCCCTGCGGGCCCGCACGGCGCCCCGAAGAGGCCCCACGGACGCCTTCCAGAGGCCCCACGAAAAGGCGACGCTTCCAAACGAAGTGTTTCCCCTCATGAACCGCTGTCGGGGCGGGGCCCGGGGCTGGAGTCGGAGCCAACGTCGGAGACCTGAACGCGAAAATCAGCGTAGACAGACGCAGACTTCCACAAGACGTCCTCGCGGATTTCTTGGACACACGCTCTGCCCCTGTCGCGCTCCCCGCGCCAGAGCGCCAGAGAAAAGGGCAGAGAGGCGCAGGAGCCGGGCGGAAGCGTTGGAGGTGGCTCCCAGGGGGCGACCGCGAGCGACCGCAGGGGCATTCGGCGGGCTCCGCCGCCGGGCACCCGCGCGTGGGGCATCCCGGGGTCTCTGCCGTTCGCCACCTCGCCGCCTCTTTCCGCACGCCTCGGCTGTCTTTTCGTTGTCCATCCTCCCTTCCCTTAGGGTTACCAATGAAGTTCTCGTCGGTTTTGAGACCGCCCTCGCGATGTACAGCTTAGTTTGCGCTGATTTTAAGAATGGTGGTGTCTCGCCAAGTTTATGGTGAGTTGTCCGTCTTCGTTGTCCATCCTCCCTGCCCGCCTCTTCGGCTGGATGGTTGGGGCCGCGGTGGCCTTGTGGGCCGCGTCTTTGCTGTCCATCCTCCCTTCCCTTAGGGTTACCAATGAAGTTCTCGGCGGCTTTGAGACCGCCCTCGCGATGTACAGTTTAGTCTGCGCTGATCTTAAGAACGGTGGTTTCCCGCCAGGTTTATGGTGAGTTGTAAAAATAAGGTTTTATTCCATTCGTGCGAAATTGTTTTGAATCCGGCATGGTTTAATCGTTTTTGTTTTTCCTCCCTGTCCGCCTCTTCGGGTGGATGGTTGGGGCCGCGGTGATCTTGTGGGCCGCCAGACGGGGCGGGATGAAAACGGTGGCGCACCTGCCTCGAGCTGAAAGCTCCACGCCTGCGTGGCTCCGAGGGCCCCCGACGGCGCTGCGGAGCCTGGCGTCCTCCCCGCCGAGTCGGCCCGATCCCTCGTCTCATTTCCTCCCCTGTTCCGTTCATCCCCCCTGGGCCCTCGCAGGGGGTCTCTCGCTGTGTTCCCTCCTTCTCCCCGCTCTGATTCCGCACACGCACACACACAGATACGCACATGCTTGTTTTTGCGCGTCGTGGCCACGCACGCCGTGTCGCGGTCCATAGAGGAGCGCACACCGGCCTAGCTCATGCAGCGGGGAGGAGACGCTCGATATGCAACACACATACTCGCGGCATCATGTGCCTCCCCTGTTCTTGACATACTGAGGAGAGCGGAGGCAAGGAATGGCAGCAGGGCAATACTTATCCAGCTGCCTGCGGCAAGTCCTGCCACCGTGCCTGGGGCCCCGTTCCTGCCCGTCGCCGCCTCCCCGTTGCACCCCCCCCGTTGCACTGCAATCGCAACGCATTGCAGTCGCATTGCGTTGCATTGCTCAGCGTTGATTTGTGTTGCTCGGCATTGCTTTACTGCGTCTTTGCATCGCTTTGCACTCGCTTACATTGCTTTTCATCGCTCTGCGTTGCTTTGCATGGCGTTGCATTGCATTGCGTTGCTTTGCATTGCATATCATTGCGTCGCGTTGCTTTGCATCGCTTTGCATTGCAGTGCAATGCGTTGATTGCACCACATGGGTTGCACCACTAAGAGTGCACGCATAGTTTGCCAAGAGACACTATTTGGGGTCCACGCTGGCTGACGTACGACTTTCTTTAGATTTTAAATATTTTAGCGTTCTCTCCTTCTCGGGCTTTGGCAGCCCATAACAGCCCAAGGGATTCTCCAAGATGGCCCCACAATGGGCAGAGGGCTTCCAGTCAAAGCCCACCGTAGCGGCATAGTGCCGCCGTGCGAGTCCAGAAAACACGTTGTTGTTCTCCGTCGTTTCCATCGTCTCCTACAGCCGCATGCTGCCGTTTCCTCCTACACTCCCGCTCGAGCAATAGTTCCGGTGCGCTTCTGGAGGAGGAGGAGGGAGGAGGAGGACAACGACGACGACGACGATGACGACGACGATGACGGCTGCGACGATGGCTGCGACGACGGCAGCTGCAGCGACCAGCAGGGCGGCGAGAGCCCACAAAGCGGTTCGCTCACCTTTTCCAGAATTGCACGGGGAGAGGGGGGAGCAATGGCAGCAGCAGGATGATGAGGAGGAGGAGGGATGAGGGGGTATAGGGGAACGAATAATGACATAAACATACATATTCGGACTTCCGAGTTGTTATGTTTGTATCATTATCCGTTCCCCTAGGGTAGTACATGGTAGTATGGCAGAGGGATGAAGCAAAGGTCAGAAGTAGGAGGAGGAAGAGAAGGGGGAGGGGGTGAAGGAGGACGTTGACTCCAACACCGTAGCCCACTACTGGCAAAAGGGCTATCCGCAGCCTTACACACCCACTACCACCTTACCTCATAACTCCAGTGATCTACCCACCACCTAAGCGGCAGCTGCACCAAGATGGCTCCTTGACATTCCACCAGACTTTTGCGCATCACAGATACGGGCGACTAGCTAAGCCTACTTCTATCCGAAGGCTCCCCCTGCCATGGTAGACTGACAAACAGGCTCTACACCCGCACCAGCATACAATGGGTTCACTGAGACACAAAATGATGACTACGCCATCGACCAGCAGCTACAACTCGCAACCATCAGCAGCAATACCAGGAATACTTGAAAGAGGTGGACAGACGAACCCCACGGCTCCAAGAGCCTCAGTAGCGCAACGAGATTACAACGGCGCTGAAGGCTGCACTTGTGCCTAAGCCCAAGTTTCCAACGCGTGAGTAAACGGCACCACCGACGCCGAAGCCCAGGTTCCCGGCATACAGAGCAGGAACGGGCCATACCGGGGCTAGGCGACCACCTCACATCGACCACAACGGCTACTTCCTAAGCGTCAATCACCACTTGTACTTAGATCATTGACCAGCCACCATCGTCACCTCAACTTACAAATGCTCGCACTCCTCGTTTTCTTCGGGGTTACCTCCCTCCCACGTCTTCGGTGTGGCTCGACTCCTCGGGAGATGACTCCTCCATCCACCTGTAAGTCACCGCCAAGGGTGCGCTCTCCCACTGCTCCTCTGTTTGCCAATCTTGTTTGTCCTCTGCTCTCATGTATTTTTGGGCGCAAGGTTTTGTGTTTCATCCGTAAAAGGGATGCAAAACACACGAGGGGCCCGTTCCCGAGGAGGTTGTGGGTGAGCCGACGGAACCCTGGGTAGCAGCCCAAGAAGTGCACCATGCGCCCAGCACATCAGTATGTACGATGTGTGGTCCTGTCCTCGTCATTGCATACCCATTAGGCCAGCCCGTACTGTCTATGCCAGTCTCATTCCGTTCCAGCTACGATTCGCCGCGTTTCTAGTTTGCACCGCCACCAGCCTGCGCTTACCAGAGTTTACGCTTGCTTTTTATCTCTCTTCCTCTGCATTGTTATGATTATTCTGGAGATGGTTGGGCAGAGGATTGGGGGGATGAAGGATCACTGCGTTAACTCGGCTATTTTGCACCATCCAAATGCTCCAGCAGTGACGTTTAAGCTAGCCTCAAGTAAAAAAGTGAAAGAAGAAGAGACGGAGGGTATGCAGGAACTTTCTCTTCTTGCTCACCTGCACCTTTCGTTCTACTTCCTCTTACGGACTCCAGACCCCCGGAGTCCACTTCAGGACACCCAATATTGGCCCGAGAGGGCCCAAGACTGACCCTAAGAAGCCTGACTATCTCCCTCATCACCGCCCTCACACCCAGGATGGCCACAGGACTTCCCCGGTGAGGCGGGTTTCAAGCATCCCACGAGTCTCTGAAGTGCCACCGAGGACCTTCCAAGATACCCTGCTCTGATTGCTCCGCGCTCTTACCCCTTATGCAAACCATGGCGAAACTATACGTGGGCAAGGAGGTGCGTGAAGCTTTGAGCCAGTCAGTGGCTTGTGCTTGCTAGTCCTTGAGCGCGCACGAAGCGCGCGATGCTTCCAGTCTTCTCTATGTGGAACCTGTATCAAACGTAGACGTACATGCATCCCAGCCCGACTACGTAGCCTCAATGCTACTTCATGTGCCTGTGCGATGGCTTCGAAGCCCGGGCCCGATCATCCAGACGCCCTCTCTGGCGCTTTATACGTTCGGCCCCATGGCAAGTACAGGTTGGTGGCGCGCGATTGTATTAGTAATGCAGCGCCTGCGTGCCATTTCTGTCATTGCCCCTCCTCTCCGAGCCCAGTCACGCCAGCAAGGACCTGAGCTCTCTGACGGTTCCCCAGCTGAAGGAGAAGCTGAAGGAGGCCTCGGCTTTGTCTCGAACCTTCACCTTCGCCTGACTCCGTGCGGCCGGGAAGTTTGGGATGGCGTGCCACTCGGCTTCGGCGGCGGGCGAGGGGGGGAAGCGAGAAGGAGAAGGCCTTCTCAGAAGGCTCGGAAGTCCACCGGCCTCCTGAGAAGTTTCCCAAGCCTTCCCCGAAGAGACAAAAAAACACCTCTCAGGAGGTCCGAGGGCTTCTGAGAAGTCCCGCCGCCTTCTGAGAAGGCCTTCTCCTCCTCACCTTCCCCCCCTCGCTCGCCGCCGACAGCTGCTCCTGGCCCACCGCGCCTGGGAGCGGCGCGCTGTCCACTCCGCGGCCCCCGAGGCGCCCGTGCCCCGAGCCCTCCCGAATGCCCCGCCCCGCGGCGCGGAGCGACACGCCGCCCGCCCGCAGGGCGCCCCGCGTGTCGCCGGGGCCGCGAAGTGGCGGCGCGGCATCGAAAGGTTCGCGACCGTCGCAGCGGTGGCCCGGGCTCTGTTGTCCAACCTCCACGCCTGGCACATCCAGGATACAGTCGGGGCGCTGAAGAAGGAGCCCTTTTCGATGGGCAGGGGCCTGGTGTGCCTTGATTGCTTTACGGTTTGCCCAGGGTTTCCCTGAGAATCTCCATGGGAACTCGAAGTTTGACTTATGGGAAAAACAGGGGCCTCGGTCCTTATTTAGGGTTCCTTAGGTTAACGCCCCGAGGCAGCGCCGCTCGGGAGCCTCGCTGGCGCACACAATAGTTACCTTCCTGACCCGTGCGCCTCTGCCTGCTCGCTCCGCGGAGCGCGCCACCGCTCCGCCGACCCCCGCTGACCGGTTAGGGACCGGCGCTCCCCGGGCCGCCGCCCGTCGGCAGCCAGGAGCCGGCTCCGTGCGGTCGGCGTTGGCTGCGCCCGCAGAGGCCGTGGCTTCTGATGTTCCAGCCTGTTTTGGCCTGGACCACCAGAGAGAATGTCGAGCACCAGAAACGAACCGAAACTCGAGGGCTCTCACGTGCTGGGCCCCGGGGACACTCGTCCGACACTGTTTCGGCACTCGTTCGACGCTCTTCTGGGTGCTCGGACTTGGTTCTGGGTTGTGGTCACCTCAAGTGCGAAGGGGGTAACATGAGCCGTGGCGTTGATTGTAGTCGTGTCGTCTGCGGCGCTCACGGCGCCAGCCAGAAGCAGGGCGCCGAGCGGATGCGCGGGATGGCGCCCGCGGAGGGCTGCCCACGGGGTAGATATACAGTCGGGGCGGTGCAGAAGGAACCCGTTTCGTTGGGGAGGGGCTCGGTGTTCCTTGATTGTTTCAAAGTTTGCCTTGGGTTTTCCTGAGGTTTTCCATGGGAAATCGAGGTTGAACTGATGGGTTCCTTATTCAGGGTTCCTTAGGTCACCGCCTCGACTGTGCTAGCTGCTCTCGCTGCGCGGCTGGCGTGCAGGCGCAGGACGGTGCTGGCCGGGGCTCGCTCACGGGGCCGGAGTGGCTGTGTGTTTGTCGATTTTTAGGGGGCCACATGCGAACCCTACCCCTACCCCCCACCATTTCGGAGGGGGAGGGTGGGGTTCACTTCGTTCGGGAGGTCACGAGCGAAGTGAACCCCACCCTCCCCCTCAGAAATCGTGGGGGGTAGGGGTAGGGTTCGCATGTGGCCCCCTAATTTTGTCGGCGACGCCAGCACCAACCGAACACATCGCCACGGTGTTCACCACTCGACTCAATCGGGAGTTGTCCGTGGTTGACCTGTTTCTGGTGTCTCCTTCCCCGATTTCTAGAGCACTTTGCCAGTGCTCGCCACGGCCACCTCTTTCATCCAAGTGTCGCCCGTGTGCTATCATGTCAGGTTCATAAGACGGTAAAAGCTGGATGCCCTCGTAGGCAGCAGCAGTGTTGAGTGAGTCCCCGTTGGATGTGTGCTCTTGGTGATCGTATTGCTCTGTTTTCCATCATCCGTAGCAGCGTTGGCAAAAGACGCTTGTTCTAGTTCTTTTCACCCATACATTCAATACTGAACTCTATGGATTTTCGGTACAATAGGATGGCGCTAATGGCGCCAGCTCTCCAGGTGATGCTGCTCGGGCTCTTTACACGCGGTGACGCCATGGGTGTGGGCGTCGGGGCGTCGGTTACGCTTCACAGGAAGGTCATCAAGGATAGCGAGCGCGCGCACCGAGACCACCGGGACATCCGCATCCACGGGCACGGCAGCAACGCAGGCCTTCGAGGGAACAAAAAGAAGAAGTCGAAGACTAAGGTGATCCACAAGACGGCTTATTTCGGCAACGTTGGGATCGGCACCCCGAAGCAGACGTTCCAGGTTGTGTTTGATTCTGGCAGCGGGAACTTGCTGGTGCCGGCGAGCGACTGCAATAGCGAGGCTTGTGTCGCCCACTCCCGCTACAATCAGGCTGAGTCTTCAACCGCGTACCGCGTTCGTTGCGACGGCGTCCAGGGAGACGAGTCTCCGCAGGACGAGGTGACCATCCTGTTCGGCACGGGGGAGATCTGGGGCAGATGTGTCCAGGATCAGATTTGCCTTGGCACTGTCTGCTACCCTGGATCCTTCATTGCCGCCACCTACGAGAGCAAGTCCCCATTCATGTCCTTCAACTTTGACGGGGTGCTGGGGTTGGCACTGCTCTCCATGTCGCAGGGCTCCGAGTTCAACATGATGGAGAGGTTAAAGGATACCGAAAAGCTTCACCAGACTCTGTACTCAGTCTTCCTGTCTAGCTCCGAGGCGGACTTGGAGGCATCCGAGATCACTTTTGGCAGCGTCAAGAGGAGCCACATGGCGTCGGACCTGCACTGGGTCCCAGTCTCCCGCGACACGGGCTATTGGGAGGTCCACGTCTCGGATATCACCATCGACAACCACCCGCAGGAGTTGTGCGAAAACTGCTACGTGGCCGTCGACACAGGGACATCAGAGTTGGCCGGGCCGTCCGCCGTCATCAACGAGTTGGCCGAGAGGCTGCACGTGCTGACGGACTGCTCGAACTACTACCAGTTGCCGAACCTCGGGTTCCTCATCGGTGGGCAGATCCTGAACCTCGAGCCGAAAGACTACGTCGACCAGTCTCCGGACGGCTGCCAGGTCTCCCTGATGCCCCTCAACGTGCCCCCGCCCAAGGGCCCACTCTTCGTCTTCGGAATCCCGTTCCTGGAGAAGTTCTACACCGTCTACGACAACGTGAACAAGCAGGTGGGTTTTGCGGTGGCTAAACATATCGGTGATAGCCCTGGACATGCAGCGGCGCTCATGTCGCAATTGGGTGCCTCGGTGAAGAACTCAAGTTGGAACAGGGAGAATTACAGGAACAATGATCGCATCTCTACCCCGCGGGGAGCCAGGCGGGGCAGCAAGAACTGGAAGCGCAGGTGACCGCACCTGGTCAGCGAGCCCCGCAGCCCGCCAGCTGAGCCTCTCGGGTTTCTAGCCGAACAGTCTTGCGCCCCTCTATTGAGCTCTCTCGTTGTTCTTCACGCCTCTGTGTCTCTTCATCTGGCAGCGCTCTCAGCAGCGCCGTGACTGAAACAGATCTTTCAGTGCAGTTTCCAGTATCAGTGAACTTGCCCCGTGCATTGTGATTCTGCCTTACTGTGAATGCCGTTTCGCACTGAAGCACTTGTAACATACAGTTTCGAAAGCCGTGTCTTGGTTGGCACAATGTTTCGGCGCCCTCCCCCACATCAGTATTGCTTAAGTTGGCAGTCGTGCTCATCCCTTCGAGTGTGGCTAAGCAGCCTTTCCCCTTTCGCTGATTCATCGGGCCCTGACCTGAGTCATCAAGAAGCAGTATCCCGTAATGTTACTTGTAGTTGTCATTGCTATTCCGCGTCCTTGCGTAGGCGAGGGCCTAGTGCCCAGTGCCGCCGTTCCGCCGCACTGTCGCTATCAAAGACACCCTCCTCCTTCCCCCTCTTCCTTGGAACACGCTATAGGCATGAGGAGGCATGAGGAGGAGGAGGAGGAGGAGGAGGAGGAGGAGGAGGAGGAAGTGGAGGAGGAGGAGGAAGTAAAGGAGGTTCGGATCTAATGCACCGTTCACCGGATCTGGGACGCACCATCCTCCACCAGGCACGCACAGGATGCACCCGTGACGGTTTTGGGACGCACCGCTGCTTGGACCTGGGGCGCACGTCCTCGATTGGGCAAACGGAATTCCGAGGCGGGGATTCGTGCATGACCACTGCCGGTGGGAGTGACCTTCGGGGACTCCGGCAGGCGGTGGATGGGGACATGCTCGGGGTCCCTGGGGCCAACATGTACGCCCTCGGCCGGGCACGCATGACATGCACCCGAGGACGTTGTCGACCTGGGGCCCGCCACCCTGGCTCGGGTGCCCTGGACAGGGGCTCCTGGATCGCTTTGGATCCTCCGAGGCGTGTCGTGTGACCCCCCCCAGGATCGGGGAAACGTAAGACTCGAGTACGCCGGCACTCGGGCTTGCCGACGCTTTTTTACGAGCGCGTCCTGGATTTTGACGGTCCAGTTTTCGTGGGATGCCTGCAGCGGGAGCTCGCGTCAAATTTCAGATCGGGTCTCGTCATTTTCATGATGGCCCCGTCAGGCCAACCCGAATCCCCCGCACCCGAGTCTTACGACCCCCCCCCAGGAGAGCTCAAGCAGGTCTTCGCCAGCCTCCGCCGCCAGCCCGAGAGGCCCCACACCTTAGGCGATGCTTAAGAAAACTCAAGTTTTCGGCCAGAGTCTCGATTATTCTTAATGTTTCAATGTAAGTCCTAAGATTTTAATGGAAATGTTGGGTTTTTATTGAAGTTCTGAGACTATGAATTTCTTAACCCATGATTTCTTAAGCATTTCGCAGGGTGCAGGCATCAGGGGGAGCTTGGCTTCCCCGTGGCTCCGCCGCGGGGGTGCCGCAGCCGCCCCCCGTGCAGCTCCTACAGCGAGCGGCTTGAAGAAGGAGCACCTACTCTTCAAGAGGGGCTCGGTCGTTCCTTAGATTGTACGTGCGTTATTTGCAGTTCCTCATGCGTTATCTACTGTTTATCGTTCCTTATGCGTATTCCTTGGGATAAAGAGGGGCTTCGTTCCTGATCTATCGTTCCTTGGGTCAGGCCGATGACTGTAGTACATCCCAGTTCCTCCTGCCGTGGGCCTCCCAGCCATGGGGAAAGCGCAGCCTCTGGATATCCAGGGTTTTGCCATCGGTGGCGCACTGCCTCCGCTGCCCCTCCCCCTCCCCCTCTGCCAGCGCCTCGCCGCGCTCTCCGTGCGTGAACTCGGAGAGCGGCAGCTCGCCCTGCCCCGTGGCTGGTCGCGGCGGACCGAGGGGAGGGGAGCCAAGAGGCCTGCATGAGCACCGTTGTCTGCCTCCTGCTGGCCCGGAAAGCGGATGGAAAGGAGGAATCGGGAGCCTCGAGACGGGGGTCAGTGCAGACGGGGGTCAGCCAGAGCGCCGGATCCTGCAGGATCCTGCAGCGCCAGGGTCGCATTGACCCGGGTTTGGGTGCAGGATCCTGCAGGATCCTTCGCATTGACCCGGGTTTGGGCGCAGGATCTTGCAGGATTTTGCAGGCCTGATTGACCCGGGTCTGGATTGACCCGGGTCAGAAGATCCCCGAAGGAAGCGGTGGAGGTGGATGGGGTTGGCGACACCATTCTTTTCGGTGTGCCGTTGGCGTGCGCGAGTCGCAAGACATCGCTGCTCGACATCCCGACGGAAGCTTAGCACAGGGCATAGCTCGTTGATCCCTTGCCGTGTTGGTTGGATGGGCAGGGTACTTCAGCTTCAGATACATGCCAATCGGATGTCTGATAAGCTCAGTCTTTCCAGTCAGACGGACAGTGGACAGGCCAACTTGCCTGTGAGCGGGAACAAGGCTGAACTGATCGCGAGATTGCTGGAGAAGGAAGATGATGTTGCGCTGGCTTCTTTTTTGCACCCTCCCATTCCCGCTGTATCGTTTATCACTGGCACCGTCCTTTGCAACCCATCCTGCTGCATGATTTGCCCATCATCTCCCTGACACGTTCTCACTTAATCGATCCTTGTCTCTTCTGGGAAAGCTGTCCGCGCGGTGTGAAGCGGCGTGGGGAGTAGTCGTGCGCAGGGAGAGAAGGTGTGGGGAGGGGGGGGGAGAGAGAGAGGGAGGAAAAAACAGAAACGACGAGAGAGAAACAACAAAAATAGCTTGGCGAAGGACCCAACCATATGCAGTTGTGAATAACGCAGTTGTGAGCATCGTCTTCGGTGGAGCTTCCTCTAAGGCCACGAAACGTGTGCGCGGTGTGCCGAAATGGGCGACGGGGCCGCATGCGAACGGTGCCACTGGGACCTTCGGTGGAGCTCCCGATGGGGCCACGCAACGTGTGAGGGTTGTGCCGACATGGGTGGCGGGGGTGCATGCGGACGGTTCCACGGGGACCTTCGGTTGAGTTTCCTAGGGAGCCACGAAACGTGAGAGGGGTTTTCCGAAATGGGTGGCGGGGACGCATGTGGACACTGCCACTGGGACCTTCGGTGGAGCTCCCTGTGGGCCCACGAAACGTGTGAGGGGTGTGCCGGAATTTGTGGCGGGGACGCATGTGGACACCGCCACTGGGGCCTGCGGTGGAGCTCCCAGTAAGGCCACGAAACGTGTGAGGGGTGTGCCGACATGGGCGGCGGGGACGCATGTGGAGACCGCCATTGGTGCCTTCGGTGAAGCTCCCTGGGGGCCACGAAAGGTGTGAGGGGGGTTTGCCGACATGGGTGGCGGGGACGCATGTGGACACGGCCACTGGGGCCTCCGGTGGAGCTACCTACGGGGCCACGAAACGTGTGAGGAGGGTGCCGTAATAGTACAATGATGACGCGCAGAGCAGAGGCACGCAGGAGAGGAGGGAGGAGGGGGAGGAGGAAGGAAGTAAGGAATGAACGCGGGGCGCTGTTTCTTCAAAACGGCGACCCAACACCACAGGATGGTTGGGACAAAAACAGTGAGAGAGATAGAGAGAGAGGAAAAAAAACAAACAAAAATAATGAGAAAGAAACAGAGACAGAGAGGGGGAGAGAGAGAGAGAGAGAGAGAGAAACAGAGAAAGAGCGATATATATATAGAGAGAGAGAGAGAGAAAGGAAAGAAGGAAAGAGAGAGAGAGGAGGGGAGCGGTTCAATACGACCAGGTGCAAACGAAAGTCACATTCGTCGATTTTGAAAGAGGGAGATAGAGGGAGAGAGAGAGAGAGAGAGAGAGAGATGGAGGCACTGAGAGTTTATAGAACCGGGGCTCACCGCATGCCCGCCTGGCTTTCCAGCCGGGGGTGCCCCGCAGGCCGCGCGCCAGAGAGGGGGTCATCCCACCACCCCCGTTTGGTGAGCGGCCCCGCCCGCCTTGCGGGGTAGGCCTGCGGGGCGCCTGTGGCTTCGGGGCCGGGGGCAGGCCTGCCGTCCGAGGTGTTGCGCGCACTCTCGTTCTCGCCCCTTTCTCTTTCCCTGACTCTCTCGCTCTCTGTTCCTCTCTCTCTCTCTCTCTCTCTCTCCTCGCTTTTTTTTCTCTCCCTATCGCTTTCTCTCGCTCTCTCCTTGTCTCTTTTTCTCTCTCTCTCTCTCTCTCTTTCCCACCCTCTCTCTATGTGTATGTAGATGTATATGTATGCATGTATACACATCATTGCTCTCATTGTCAGAGTGAGGGTGCGGAAGTGTTATTCACTGTCCCTGGGTAATTACGTGGCTGAATTCGGGTTCCGCGGTACGGATTGGTGTTGCGCTGCATGCATTGCACGCGTTGCGTTGCGTTGTTGTCGTCTTCGTTCCGTTCGCGAACGGGCCCGCGACCCAGCCCGCGGCCCACCCCGCGACCCACCCGCGACCCGCCCGGGACCCATCCGCGACTTCCCCCGCGCCCGCCCTTCCACTCTTACCCGCAACTGCGGGGTGCTACATATACATGTATACCCCTTCTTTTTTTTTCTCCCTGAATCTGGGATGCGCCCGCACCAGATCGCATGACAACGCCCCCCCCCCCTCTGGTCTCACCCCTTTCCTATCGTTGCCCCGTTCGCCCTCCCTCCCGCTCCTGCGCGTACCGATACCACTACATCCTGGACCTCTCCCGGGGCGCGCTCTGACCAGAGTTCCGAGGAGACTCCAGCGGTGGCGACGAGGGCCTCCGAGGAGGCCCGCACAGAACGAGAGCAGGGTGCGAGAGGTACGGGAACCTCTCCCTCCTCTGACTTTTCTCCCTGCCACTAATGTCCTTGCCTTGTTTTATGATGCTCCAACCTACTTTAGCTTTGATCGCCAGGAAGAATTTCGCGCGCCCAAAAAAGTACCGAAACTCAAGGGTTTTCACACGTCGGACCCTGGGCGACACTCGCCCGACACTGCTTGGACACTGTTTCGACACTCTTTTGGCACTTCTCCGGGTGCTCGAAATTATATCTGGGATGTAGTAGTAGTAGCAGTAGTAGTAGTAGTTGGAGGAGGAGGAGGAGGAGGAGGAGGAGGAGGAGTGGGAGGAGGAGGAGGAGGAGGAGGAGGAGGATGAGGATGAGGAGGAGGAGGAGGAGGAGGACGAGGAGGAGCAACATATAGCCTTGTTCGCCCTCCCTCCCGCTCCTGCCTCGGCCAACCGCCGCCCAGGAGGCCTCCGGCAGCAGCGCCGCGCCCGCCGGCGACGCGCCCGCTGGTCAGGAGGCGGCCGGTGCCGAGGCAGAAGCGGCCCAGGCCGCCCGTGGGCCGACAGAGCTCGCCGGGGGGGGGAGCTCATGGGCTTGTTTTCCACCACCACCGCCACCAGAAGTTGGAGGGGGGAGGGAGGTGGAGGAGGAGGAGGAGGAGGAGGAGGAGGAGGAGGAGGACCCCCTCCCCCTCCTACTTATGGTGGTGGTGGTGGTGGGAAGCAAGCCCGCCAGAAGCGGGTCCTGAGGGAAACGGGTCCAGGGATGGGCCTAAACAAGCTTGTTGTGCTCGTTGTCTCTCGTTGTGTCTTCAAGCCGCTTTTGCTGCACAGGAAAAACTAAACGAAAACGGCCCACAAAATCGCCCATACACCGTTCAGGTCGAGCCCTGAACGGATCCTGGACCCTTGGGCCTTCCCCCAGGACGAGATCTTTATCCTGAGTCGTTTTGTGACAGCCTCGGGGCTCGTGGAGGGCCCCGAGGGGTCCGGGGGAGTGGTGGTACCGGTACCTTTTCGGTTTCCCCAGGGGCATTGCTCGCAATTGCCATCGCGAAAGATTCGCCATTGGGGAAGCGGGTCCTGAGGGAAACAGGTCTTGAGCTTATTCAAGGTGTGCGGATTCTCGGGGTCCTCAACGGGCCTCGGGATTGCCAGAAAACGACTCAGGATGAAGATCTCGTCTTGGGGGAAGGCCCCAGGGTCCAGGACGCGTTTCCATCAGGACCCGTTTCTCCCATGCCAAAAATCGGGGGCGGGAACATGACCATTATCGTAACCGCCACCGCAAAAGGTACAGTTCACATTCCCTGGGGCACGGTTTAGCGTGTCGTTCCGCCAGTTCTGTCCCACCACGCTTCGGCGCGATACGCGAAACACGACCCAGTCCCAAGCGTCAACGTCCCGAGCTTTTCTCAGTTTCTTGCCCCGCGGAGCGAAGCGACACGTTATCCGCTTGCAAGGCGTAGCGTGACGCCGGGGCCGCCGTCGCGACACGTTAAGCAACATTTCCCGACCGTAAGTTATTGTAAAGTGAGCTGGGACAAGGGCGAGAGATAGCGAGCGTTTGTCTGTGGCCGCTTGGGCTCAAGCGGCCGGCCGCCTGTGTCTCATCGAGAGGCACACTACTTGCCATCGAGACCGAAAACATATTCGCTTGATATGGTCCGTCGCTCCCGCGACGACCTCCTCCGATTGGGACTATCGTTACTACGGTACAACAGAGCTGGAGCTGGGCTTCGCCTGAGGCGAAGCTGCTGGTTGGGTCTCCCGGCCCCCTTCAAACTTGGAAGCGGATCTGGCCTATGGTGGTCAGCTCTCGCTCTTCTCCTCACCATTCACGGCACTATCTGGTGGACTATTGACATGGTGGAACATCAGAGGCACGGGGCCTGCGCGGAGGAATGTACATGATTACGCACAACCGCAAGGACACTTGCAGCGCTACCTCTGCTCTCGTGGAGGCCTCTATATCGAGTCCTACATCCCTGCGCTACTACACTCTTGAAGTCCACCCACCCACTCACATGGGACTTTTTTGAAGATGCCACGCATGGCAACATGCGATACGATATTGCGCCGCCTCCACCCCCACGCAGGTTTACAACAATACACCGCAAACCCCAGCCACTATCACCCGATCACGACCTACGGAGCCACTGGATTGGCATTATTATATTCGGCCTTATATGGGTCGCTATCCGGCGTGCTGTGGGACACATGCGTGGCGGCGACGACACAAAAACAACCGGCCCCCACTGGGACCCGGCCGGTCATGTACCGTTTCCGCGAATTTGTTCGAGAGGTACATGCTTGGAGCAACGCGGCCGCAGGCAATATGACGCCCTCCCAACAGGCTGCAGCACGGCAGCGTGGTCTGGGAGGTCTCGCTCGGACCATAGCCATGAGAGTTCCCCCCGCAGTCATCAACTTTGGCGTTAACATTGGTGGTCGTCATACCGATGGCGTCACCTACATCATGTTCCTCCTTAGCACGAAGTTTGAGAACTGAGAGGAGGAACGCCAACTTAACTCGGGAACGGCCCTCATCGACTTTCGCGTCCACGCGGGAGAACGGATCGACCAGACATTAATTAGCACGGTTCGAGATAGCCCGCTACGAGGTTGAAGCGGCAGGCTTTAACATCCCCAACTTCCCAATCCTAACAGTTTTCTTGTTCAGAACCTCAGGAGTGGGGGCGTCGCGTGCACAGCAACGCCTACAGCCACAACCACCAAACGCCGAGGAATCAGCAACAACTTGATGCTTTACTTGAACGCGTGAGGTCAGATGCCCACATTGCTGAGCGAACCCTTGGCAATAGTGGTGGTCTCGTTCGCCACGGTCACTGTGCCGAAACCTGTCAGATTGAAACTAATGCAGGGCAACTTGCTACAAACGTCTGGATTGACGATCCGCAACCAACGGATACCACCACTCTATTAGCCCAAGATGGTAGTCTGCCTACGGGGTCGCAGGACTCTTGGGCTAGATATCAGGGACCGTCGGCAAGGGCGGCCCCTTAATTGCACAAGTCACTATCCTTGTAGGCTCAGCAGGGACAAGCCGCCGAGTCTTACTTCTACCCTGGAACCGACACCGACACGACATCATATGACGAAGCGATTGCCATAGACTATTCCGACATGCCCACGTATCTTACGGAAAACAGCACGCGCAATGGTTGTTTCTAGGATATCAGAAACATAAACTATGAAGAAGCCAATTCGTAAGGTACGACGTAGTGCCCGACGGACACTCAGGGGAAAAGGCAAGGGTCGAGGCAGGGGTAAGGGCAAACGACGGTGATGACATGGCAGAGGTATGCTAGCAATTCTGGCATCCCTTTTTGGACTACAGTATGAAACTATTCCTTGGCGCAGGCTGACGCCGTAGACGCGCCTCAGGAAAGGGTAGGGGCCGTTGGGGCCACCCGAAAGATGCAAACAGTAAAACCATGGAATGTGACATCTGCCATACCCCGGAACCGCCACCAGCAAAAGGGGCACCGTCGTCATTTCCATCGCCTCGGTAGCGCCAGCGTACCGCCATTAGGGTGCATGGAGGACGAGCCTCCGTGTGCCAACGCGTAAGCGTGTCCTCCTGAACCGCCCGACGTTTGTTGCCACTTGGGCTCGGGCGTTCGGCCGCGCTTGAACAACCCACCCACCACCCTGGGGCATCAACTTCCTGAGAGCGGCAGGGGCCCTGAGCCCCCAGAGCCGCCACCAGTAGAAGGGGCATCATCGTCATTCCTACCCCCACTTTTACCGCCATCGCACCTCTGTTGGGTTTCGTCGAAGGTACCAGTACGCGTCATCCCTCCCCTCTTTTGTCTCGCAGGGCTGAGACATGCGCGCCGCGGGCAGTTGTTTCCTGAATGCCAGCCCGTGAAAGCGCATCGCAGCTCAACCAGCCCCCTTTGAGCCGCAAGTGAGAGGGACAGAGAGAGAGAGGGAAACAGAGAGAGAGAGAGAGGACAAAAAAAAAACGCCCGTACACGCCAAGTGTGCGTCGGAATCGATCTCACCAAGGGCCGACCAGTGACCGTACAAGCGCATCACTGCGCGCGGAAGTCGGGTGGAGCCTGTCCCGCCGTGCGAGCGCCCCGTTGCCGCAGTTCGTGCAAGGTGCCTGCGCCGCCCACGGCTCCACAGGCCAGGACAAGCACAGCAAGCTTCAGCGCGTTCCGCGGCCATCTGCGTTTCCCGCGACCTCCCAGGCAAGACAGGGGGGACGGACCCGGGTGCGGAAAGTCGGCGGCGAGCCCGGGGGAAAAGGGTTGGCCTTCTCAGAAGGCGGCAGAGCTTCTCAGAACTTCCCGCGCCTTCTCAGAAGTTGTTTTGGCCTCCCCAGAAGACGGTTACGGTTTCTCAGAAGGCTGGCAGGCCTCTGAGAAACCCCGCCGCCTTCTGAGAAGGTCTGCCTCCTCTGACCTCCCCCGGGCGTGCCCCCGAAAAACGCAGTGCAGACGGCAAAGGCGTTTGGCGTCCAGCACCCAGGCCACCTGCCCAGACAGCACCGGCGATGGGTGTGAGCCGTATGCTCGAGCGTGTTGGCCTGGCAGGGGGCGAGGGGTGAGCTGTCTAGTGACTGCTTGTGCTCGCGCAGGCGTCAACGTTTTTACTTATTTTTCGAGTTCAGTGCTGCGCGGGTTCGAGTGGGTTGTGCCACGTCTGGCCTGTCTCCTTTTCGGTGCTGTCACGCTGGGGCTCAATTGCAGCCCACCTGCGTCAAGCTCAAAGGTTGTGCTGGCCCGACATGGGGGCGTGAGGCTTCGGGAGCCCCGGGGAAGGTCTGCTCCCGGCCCTTCGCTGGCGCCACCGCCTGGCCAGGCGAAGAAGGCCGACGAGCCCAAGGAGGCCGAGGAGCAGAAGGAGAAGGAGGCCGAGCAGCCAACGGAGCAGAAGGCGGACGACAGCAAGGCAGCCGGCCGCCGCCGAGCGGCCCCTCGGGGCCCTCCGCTCGAGAAATATGCATCACTGATGGGGCGCGATCGATGACGACGAGGGCGGGCATCGAGGGTTTAGAATATTCGCGAGCAGATACGCGCGAACAGTCTTAAGACGACTGTTGTTGTTTTTGTTGCCTCTGGCCCCCGGTTTACAAAAACAGCGGCTCCCGCCTGAGATTGCCTCATAAGATATTCCCCAATCGCGCTGTCGCGTGGGACTGTTTCAATTTATACAGGAATCGCGATCTCGCTTGTGACCTCCTCGCAAGTTATTCAGATGCCGCACCCTCGACAGTCTCTCTGCGCATTTCCTCATCATTTCTTTGGGAATCTCGCTGTCGCTCGAGACTTCTCGCGATTCCTGCAGGACGCACCCTTCAGCAACCCGCCTGCCCCTTGCCCCTTCCTTCCATCCGTCCTCTCTTCCCCTGCCGTTGAAGCTGCACGAAATACACGTTGCAGGTAAGAAAGATACACTCCTGCAGGTGCACGATCGAAGACGAAGAGGGCGGTTATCGAGGGTTTGAGATATACGTGTTCAGTGGCACGCGAGCAGGTAAGAACGAATAGTCTTAAAATGCTTGTCTTTGTAATTGTTGTCGTTGTCGCTGTCCTTGTCGTTGTTGCCAGTGTTGTTGTTGGTTGTTGTTGTTGTTGTGGTTGTTGCTGTTTCTGTTGCTGGTGTGGCTGTTGTTGTCGAATTCCCATTTCGAAAGGATCATGACTGTTGATCTCGCCCTTTCAGGGCACATGTTGTTTTTCAATGTAAGTGCTTTTCCCGAGGTTCGCACCATTTTGTTCCAAGGGAAAGCGAGGGGTCATCAAAGTTGGTTGTTGGCCCCCCGTTTACAACAACAACAACAACAACGACAACAACAACGGCTCCCACCGGATATTTCCTCACAATGTATCCCCACATCGCGCTCTCGCGCGGGACGTCCTCACAATTTATATAGGAATCGCGCTTTCGCGTGAGACTTTCTCGCAATTTATCCAGACGCCGCGCACTCGACTCAGAAATCAAGCTCTCGCTGTGGATTTCCCCACGATTTCTTTGGGAACTGCGTTATCGGTCGAGACATTTTCGCGATTCAAGCAGGACGCACGCTTCAGCATCCCGCCTGCTCGACCTGGCCGCCTGGGCCCGCCTTCCCGACCCGCACGTTAGGGTCTACCGGCCCGATCAGACCGCTTGGTTCTGCCAGGTGTTTTCTGTTCCTAGCCCCCCTCCTACTCTCTCTCTCTCTCTCTCTCTCTCGTGCGCCGTCCTTTATCCCTCCTCCGTGCCCCTTCCTTCCATCCGTGCCCTCTGCCCCTGCCTTTGAAGCTGCACGAAATACACGTTGCAGGGAAGAATGATGTACCCCTAATGGGGGGAACGATCGAAGACGATGGGGGCAGGTATCGAGGGTTTGGGATAAACGTGTTGAGTGGCACGCGAGCAAGTAAGAGCGAACATTATCAACTTGTTTTTGCTGTTGCTGTGTTTGCTGTTGTTGTTGCTGTCGTTGGTCTTGCTGTTGTTGTTGCTGCTGTTGTTGCTGTTGCTGTTGCTGTTGCTGTATTTGTTGTTATCGATGTTGCCGTTGTTGCTGTTGTGACTGTTATTGTTGGTGTTGTTGCTGCTGCTGTTATTATTTAATTGCTTCGCTCATTCCGCCGGCCCATAATGTCGCACCGTGGTCGCCTGTCCGAGTGGTCGTTTGCAGTGTGGAGCTGCGGCGTCGGGAGCTGTGTAGTGTTGGGGGCGTTCTTGGGGCCTTTTGGGCCGTCCTGGAGGCCTCTGGGGCCGTCTTCGAGCCGTCTTGGGCCGTCTTGGGGCCCTCTTGGGGGCCTCTTGGGCCCTCTTGGGGCGATATTGGAGGCCTCTTGAGCTGTTTAGGGGCGTCGGGGAACCGAAAAAAGTAAAACGCCCAAATCTGTCCAACACCAAAGGAAAAGCACAGGTGTTTGCCTCTTGGGGCCCTCTTGGGAGTTCTCTTGGAGGCCTCTTGGGGCATCTTGGAGGCTTCTTGGGCCATCTTGGAGACGTCTTGGGCCGTCCGGAGGCCATCTTGGGCGTCGTGGAGCGATCTTCGGGCGTCTCGGACCTCTCTTGGACCGTGTTGGGGGCGTTCTTGGGGCCCTCTTGGGCCGTCTTGGAGGCCTCTGGGGCCGTCTTGGAGCCGTCTTGGGCCGTCTTGGGGCCCTTTTGAGGGCCTCTTGGGCCCTCTTGGGGCGATCTTGGAGGCCTCTTGAGCCGTTTAGGGGCGTCGGGGAACCGAAAAGGTTGAAACGCCCAAATCTGTCCAAAACCTAAGAAAAAAACATTGATTGTTGCCTCTTGGGGCCCTCTTGGGAGTGCTCCTGGAGGTTTCTTGGGGCATCTTGGAGGCTTGTTGGGTCATCTTGGAGACGTCTTAGGCCGTCTGGAGGCCATCTTGGGCGCCGTGGAGCGATCTTCGGGCGTCTCGGACCTCTCTTGGATTGTGTTGGGGGCCTCTTGGGGCCCTCTTGGGGCGATCCTGGAGGATCTGGGGGAGTGTCCCGGGCTCCGCCCAGGCTCCGCCCGGGGTACTTTTGATCCAGGGACCCCCAGGGGCCGCCCCGCGCGCGCGAACTAGAAATACTGTTTACCAGTTACCGGAGATCTTAGCACGCCTCTGGCCCGTTGGGCCAGCGAATTGTTGCTGCTGCTGTTGCCGCTGCTGTTGCTGTTGCTGTCGTTGCTGTTGCTGTTGCTGCTGTTGTTGCTGTTGCTGTTGCTGTATGTGTTGTTATTGTTGTTGGTGCTGCTTGTTTGTTGTGACTGTTATTGTTGTGTTTTGTGTTGTTGCTGTTGCTGTTGCTGTTTTTGTTGTTGCTGTTGCTGTTGTTTGATGTTGCTGCTGTTGCCGTTGTCGTTGAGCATTCATTCCTTCAAAATATGTATTGTTGGTTCCCCATCCGTCAGCCATTGTATTTTTCAACTGAAGTGCTCCTCTCGGGGCTTGCACTCGATTTTTTACCAGGGGAAGTGAGGGGTCACCGATCTGTGTTGTTGGCCCTCAGTTTACAGCAAGAACGGCTCCCACCTGATACATCCTCACAATTCATTCCGAAATCGCGCTCTCGCGCAGGACTTTCTCATACGTAATACATGCGGGAATCGCGCTCTCGTATGTGACTTCCTCGCAATCTATTCAGACGCCGCGCCCTCGACACTCGGGAATCACGTTCTCACCGTGGCTGTCGTCATGTTATTTTTGGGGAAACGCGCTATCGCTCAAGACTTCTTTTCGATTCAAGCAGAACTCACGCTTCAGCAACCCGCCTGCTCGAACTGGCCGCCTGGGCCCGCCTTCCCGATCCTCCCAAAATTGTAGGGCACACCCGCCCGAGATCAGCCCGTCTGGTTCTGCCATGCGTTTTCTGCTCCTGGCCCGCGCGTCCTGCTAATCTCTCTCGTGTTTCATCCTTCTCCCTTCCCCATCCGTCCTCTCTTTCCTTGTTTTAGGGGCTGCTCTAAATGTACGTGGAGGGTAAGGAAGATCTACCCCCAATGGGGTACGGTCGAAGACGAAGAGGGCGGGTATCGAGGGCTTGGGATATACGATATACGTGTTGTGTGGCACGTGAGCAGGTAAGAGCGAACAGACTTGAAATAATTAGTGTTGTTGTTCTTGCGGCTGCTGTTGTGGTTGGTGTTGTTGAATTCTGACTTCTGAAGAATAGCTATTGTTGATCCCCCCTCCGGTAACATATGTGTTTTTAATTCGAATTTCCTTCCTGGGGCTCGAACCATGTTTTAATATGAGGAAGGCTTCCTCCTCAAACTGCGTTGTTGGGCCCCGCATTACAACAAGAACAACGGCTTCCGCCTGATATTTCCTCGCAATTGATTGGAGAATCGCGCTCTCGCGCGGGACTTTCTCCCATGTTTTCTAGGAGTCGCGCTCTCGAGTGGGACTTCCTCTCATTTTTCAGACGGTGCGCCCTCGGCGCTCAAGAATCACGCTCTTGCTGTGGACTTCATCACGGTTTTTTCTTGGGAATCGCATTATCGCTCGAGACAGATGCGATTCAAGCAGGACGCACGCTTCAGCAACCCGACTGCTCGACCTGGCCGCCTGGGCCCGCCTTCCCGACCTGCCCGCTGTGGGTCTGCCCACCCGATCTGCCCGTCTTGTTCTACCATTTGTTTTCTGCTCTTTGCCCCCCTCCTGCTAATCTCTCTCTTGCTCCATCCTTCTCCCTCCCCCTTCCACCCGCCCTCTCTTCCCCTGTTTTAGGGGCTGCGCTGGATGCACGTGGCAGGTAAGGAAGATATACGCCCAAGGGGGTACGATCGAAGACGACGAAGGCGGGTACCGAGGATTTGGGATATACGTATTGATTAACACGCGCGAGCAGCCTTATTCTGATTATGGTTGTTGTTGGTGGTGCTGTTGTTGGTGTTGTTAGTTGTTGTTGGTTGTTGTTGGTGGGTTGTTGCTGTCGTCGTCCTCGCCCGCGACCCGCCAGCGTTCCACCAGCGACCCACCGCACAACCCCCCCAGCGCGACCCACCTGTCGACACATCCCGCGCCTGCCCCCCCACTCTTATCCGCACCTGCGGCGTGCTGCGGCATGTTTGAACGCACACCCTTTTGAAGGGGAAAGGACGCTGTAGGGAAAGCCGCAGCCTCCGCCGCCGCAGCTAGCTTGCGCTGCTGCCCCGTGTCTCGCGCAGTGCTGGTTCCGCTTGTGCGGCGCTCGCTCTGGCAGCGCGAAGGTGGAGACCTCGTTCCCCTGGGCTTGCGCAGGGGAAAATAAGAGACATAAGCTTTTGAAAGGGGAAGAGATCCACTCCAGGAAATATAGTAACAAGAAAAAAGAGTTTCCAAAAACTTTTGCACATTAAAGGGATAAACCAAACACTAAAAGAGTCCATTCCAGCTCTGGGGGCGAGAACCCCGACGAGATGAAGCCCGGCGTGTCGCCCGGGGCGCACCCGCGCGGGCGGACCTTGGC